TGTGCATTTGATTCCTTTTGTACATTCTGATTGCCTTCGGTTTTCTCGTGGCATGTGTTTTGCATATTTGAGCGCTCCGACGACAGCGAGCTATCTCATTGCCGCTGTTGTGCTGGTTTGGTCTCTCATTTGCTGTTCGCTAAACTGTACGTTTTTTCACCGCGCTTTACCGGCCAGTGCGCAATTTGCGTTTCTCAGCTTTTTTTTTTGCATTGCTGCCGGCCTTGGGAGTGTCTGCATCAGGCTAAGCTACACTATGACGCTTCTTACCCCGCTATTTCTATTTGATTACGTATTAGAAGGAATTGAGCAGCTGATTTCTCTGTTCGCATGGCTGATGCGTTGCAGAATGTCCTTGTCTTCGCACAGCAAGGCGCAAAATCGTCTGCCTGCGAGTCACATGCACCTAGCTGTTGAAACTTCAGGGTTCACACGGCGCAGCAACGCGCACCTCAGCTGCCCTTCTCCTCTCATGTCGGAAACATTGAGAGAGCAGGAAGGGGAATGATTTGGTACGGGCTAGTCTGGACGTCTATTTTGGAAAACAGCAAAAGTATTTCCTATCAGGATTGTCTTGAGTCTAAGGTTAAGTGTATCCTGCATACCCGAGATGGAGCGTTATGTACTAAATGGAAAGTTATTGACAACTTTCCAAAAGAATTCCCAACTTCCCCTTTCCACGTCCCACAAACTTCCTGACATGAAAGAAAACAGGCAGCTACGGTTTGTTCTTGCTGCACCAGGTAAACTCTTGAGCACTAACAGCTAGATACGTATCGCATATAGCTCACAGGCACAAAACACTGCACCTCGGTATATCGAGCTAAGACTTCTCTTTAATAAGATGATTTTGAGATAAATACCAATTCGTCAAATGTCTAAGTGGAGTATGCCTAGTTTAGTAGGAAATGCTCTTTGTGTTCAGCGTAGCCTGGCATGCCGTCACGCGAGGGCTTGAGTGTTAAGGGTTCTCCCCTCCTTCTCTATATTACTTGCCTCTCAAACGGACTGCAGGCAACAGTGAAATGGGTAACTACAGGGGTAATGCGTGTAACGGGCCTTATTCGAAGAGTAGATGCTGGTCAATTCTTTGTGCACAACTGCAGCCATAACGATAAACTGTGGCAGCAGCCGCACCCCAAACAGAAGAACGAAGAATTAGGAACCCTGGACATTCCTTTTGAAGGAAAAAAAAAGTAAAATATTCAAGGCCCAAACTACATCCGTACGCCGTCGCATTTCACACAGCTTCTAAAGGCACGAGAAGGCGTCATCGGACTAATATGAGTATATCATAGTTAAGCCTCTTAGAGATCTATTAAAAGGCTAAGTGCTTGCACATTTAGGAATGTTCAATAAATGGATGGAGGGCAGCGGAAACCTACCCTGAGGCAATATCGTTCGACACTCTCCATGAGCGGTTCCTTGCTCCCCGTGTCGGGAATACACGCAACCTCATGCCGCTTCTGGATCCATTTAGAGTATGAATGATCTTTCCGGGGCTCTTTACCGAAAGAGGGGGGAAGAAGCAATCATCGAGGCACCAACATCACCCCACATTGTGGTGCTGCTGTTCCTACTTCGGTCGCTCCCTTCCCCCGATAACGGCAGCCACAGATATCAAGTGGTTAGCTCCGTCGAGAGCGGCCATAAGCACTTGCTTCCCCCTTTGAATTTTCCCCATTGAAAATAATTCGTCTTAACAATTCTTCAACCCCTTTTTCCTTCTTTTGCCCAACGGGTTTTGCCTGGCTGGAGGACCGGGACATCGCAGACTCCCTAGCTGTTCGCATATCGACCCCCCGCCCTGCAGTTAAGCTTCCTTTTGGTGTACTGTGGTTTCGTTTGCTTCATCATACTCTCTAGCCTCTGCGCGCTTCTCTCCTTGTTAGTTCCTAGGCATGGCCATGATGGCTGCTTTCTGTGCGAGTGGGCTGCCTCGACGCACAGGTGGCGCTCTTCTTGCTGCTCTCTTTGTTGTGCAGTTCCCACAAGGAAGCGTGGCACGAGTACATGATAACTTCGCTAGCCAGTTTGGTGGTGGAGGCATTCAAGATGGCATTTCCCCTCATTCCTCTAAGTTTCCCATGCATGCCATGCCTGGCCAACCCCCCAATGTTCAAGGAATGGATCCTTTGAATCCTGTGAATGAGCTGGATCATGTTGCTTCTCCTCTATCTTCACTAGAGCTTCCCTTGGCACCCATGATTGCGCCGTTGATGTTTGGGTCAAAAACGGGAGCAGGCGCTGCCACTGCTGCAGGATGGGGTCCAACCATGGGCATTGGGAGCGCCAATTATATACCACCTTATGCTCAGCCGTCGGGTATGATGCCGGGAAGCGGTGCAGCTTCTACATTAGCGAGCAAACTGCGTTCTCAGAAGGCGCTGGCGGCGAGTTTGCCCGTAATTACGAATAAAGCTGGAGATGTGATGAATGCGGATCCTGTGGTCGACACAAGCGTACCTGTGGGGTTCCTGTCTAGCGCAAATGGGGTGTATCTAGCACCTCGTTTTCCCTCGACTCTGCAAGCTGTTGCTGAGCCCAGCGAAGACGCTTTAAAGAGTTGCATCATGCGCGTTTCCGTCCGCACCTTGACAAATGAGTTCAGCGACACTCTTAAATGGGGCAGCGTGAAGGTCGAAGGCAGCTCCGTAAATCAGTTGCTGCAAGTCTTGTCCACCAGCGCACCTCGCTTTACCTCAAAGCTGGCCGCCCCCATGGTCCTCCTGCAGAGGGCTGCAGGGGCCCGCGTGAAGTACAACGTGAAATTGGCAGTGCCGAAGGGCTGCGCCTTGCTGCCTAACGACCAAACCGCGATGGTATTGGTGAAGAGCATTGGGTCGTATATCTATGGAGTGGATATTACTCTGCGGCCCGACATGATGGGACAATACATGCCATCTGTGGTGGGGGTCCCGAGCGATTTGATTGCTTTTGCATCCAAATTGCCTGAAAATTCGAATTTTCAGCCTGTGGGTCACTGTGCATTTGTTGCTCGTTTTTCGGCGTCGCCGGAAGAGATCTCGTTGGGCGCCTCGTTCACGAGAGTGAGAATAGTTGCGTTGACGCAGTATGGATCCGAAGCACTGGAGCTGCAGATCCCCATAGAGTGCCTTCCACAATCGCTGCACCGCACTGCCTTGTGGTCCACCAAGCTCAGCAGCGGAACAGCAGTATTTGTCGCTTTCAGCCCGCCCCCTCGCGATGATAACGAGTGGTTCCCCATCCGACACACGGATTATGAAGTTGATTTTCAGAGTGCAACCACTTCCCACAGATAAATGGGTGGATCGGCTGCTTGGTTCGCAAATGATAGATCTCAGGCTTATTCAGAAAGGGATGGTGCATGGCTTTCTGTTGCTCTGCTCGGCAGCCGCATTGCCCTGCATGCAGCGGTAATACAAAAGTGGTAGTCCATCTTGTGTCTGCAACACAGGTGCGTTAGAGGTGCAAACGGAATCGTGTTGTACCATCACCTGTAAGCGTTCACCTGAGGTCTCTGGGAACATGATATAGCTTTGGCATGCGTGCGGCATCCAGCATACGTACTTGTCCCAGATTATTTACATGGTTCCAGCTGCATAGCTCTGCGTACATGCATATGTATTGAGTAGTTGTTCCATTTGGATGTATGTTTTCTTGCATGTACACAGCCAGGACACTACCTGCACCCTTTTTTCTTCATAGGGTGAACAAATGCGGATTTTCCCTGGTAGAGGCACATGCCTTGTGAAACAGCGTCGCTGATGAGCTTAAGATTCCTGTGTGATAAAGTTTTGCTGCTTTTTGCTGCTGTCACGCAGACGTGCCTCTTTACAGTCTCAGCTTTCTTGTTGCGTGGTTACCTCTATCTTGCACAGCAGAAATTAGATTTGATACAGAAGCACCAACAGGCTGAGAGGCTCAGCCTCTATCGTCGCATCTAAAGTCTCCGTAGGGAGACTCTTGACTTAATGCTTCACACAAGCCAAATAGTTATCTAACGTTCTTTTAGTAGGGCCCTCATTTCACTGACCGTTCTCTCTGGATCTGCACGAGCGTAGCGAGACAGCTGGGGTGAGCTTTGTTGTGCTCTCTTAGCAATCTGGGCATTTAAAACCAAGTGCAAGTATTGATTAGCACACACTCACGTACCATTCCCTGTAGCTCTGTTGAGCTGGCAGTACACGCGGTGTACTTACTGCTGCGTGGAGCTTCCAATTTTTCACATTCTTAGTCTACTTGGAAGCATTTGAGTGTACCTTTGCCGAACGCAGAGTATATTTTCCCCCTACACGGCAGCACGATCAGACCTACCGCAAGTTTGATAGACGAGTGTACATGCTTAGGATAATCCTCTACAATTGCGAAAAACAGTTGGTCATGTGCTTCGAGGAATAATTTGAACATATTAGCTCTGCTTCGTACTCTTGTTAGCATGCTGGATCTCGGGTCCGTGTATGTGGTCTAATGCGACATGGAAGTTTTTGCCCTACGCACTATAGAGGGGCTGCGCTACACGCTTTCGGTTCTCCTTTGGCAAATTGAAGGCACTCTACAGTGTGAAGGCTTGATTCACAGTTTTGATCCCCTTCTGTCGATGGCTGCTAGGTCTCTTTGAACAATTAGAGCAATCTTTGGGGTCCGGGTAGCCTAAAGGAAACGTTACACATAAATAAAAACGAGCAGTGGAATAAAGCAAAGAAGCTATGGTGAAGGTTCCCTGAAATTACAAGGATTGGCTGACGGCGGTTCCAGCCCCTGATGGCTCACACTGCCAATCTTCAACAAAAAGAACTGCTGCAGACATGGCTTTGTTGTCTAGCAATATGTCCTTTTTTAATGGAATGGCATTTTCTTTCGCAGTTGGATGTCTAATGCATTTAGATCATCCGTGCAAGGAAGGATACGGACAAAAATATGCTACAACGCCGTCCCAGTCCCACGCGGTTCTCCAGAGCAACCGATTGAATATTTCTGCCATCTTATTTTGTGAATTGCACCGCTCACTGGTCCGGCTTAGTGAATAGGAGTGATGCAAGTAGGAACCTGAGGCAGAGGGCCTCTTGCAGTGCCGGTCTGTATCCGTCTGCAAGGGAACAGAGGGGGGTATTCAGTGTCTTATCATGACAGCTTCTCCTCTATCCCACCGGCAGGACCCTGCCTGTTCGGTCGTCTCTGAGAGACAGAGTGAACCCTTTTCTCCTGGGAGTTCCACTACGACTCCCACTACTGCGGAGAAAACCAAGACTTCACCAACGGAGAGTAATCTTAAGATGCAAGACGGAGGTAATTGCGCTGTTAATACTGACGGCAGCAACACCACCAACGAAAGCAGCAGTATTAATACTGTAGGTAGCAAAGATATTGCGAATGGCGCCGGGAGACGCGGCATTAGCGGCTGTGCCAGCGAGCCACAGCTTTGGCGTTCTGTAGTCCAGCAGCAGCAACAGCAACAGCAGAGTGGCGAGCAGAATGAACAAAAGCCACGACAGCGCCGGAGGAGCAGTAGCACACATCCCGGGAAGGGAGAAACAGATAGCGGTGTCGTGCTGAGGGAAGCCTGTGGCGGGGATGGTCCTCTAGTGCAGAAGCTGATGAAGCGGCATTTGAGGTCTCTTATTCTCCCTGCAGTGTTTTATTGGCTATGTCGACATGCGCGTGACTTTGGGAGCTTCCTAGTAATCTGTTGCTGCTTCGCGCCCATCAGCAGGGTGTTGATGAGTTTGTGCTGCTTCTTGCTGCTGCTGGTTTGTCGCGTTGTTTTGGAACTCGAACAATACGCCACAAAAGGATGCCCAGACCTTGCGGATTTTGAACGCCAGTACGTCGAGGTGGGAAGGAACAAGTTTTGGGTTGCAGAGGTACGACAGCCACAATACAAGACGAGATACATGCATATACAGACGCCTTCTGCCCAGAGTCAGGGACCGTGTGGTGAAATTTGTGGAGGGCGAGGAAACTGCAGTTCGTGGATGAAATCTGAATGAAGAGCAGAGCATGCAAATAGTGGCCTTAATCTTGTTTTGTGGGCTTCATGAATGTTGAGATACATAAGTGTTGATACGGAAATGATTGCTTTACACTGATTTCGTTCCGCCACTTTGCTGCAACTGTGTTGACTACGAGGGAAGAGAATCATTACGAAACGCATGGGGACTAATATGTTCATTTGTTCATGTTGCTCTTCAATGCATTTGTTTTAGTCTGCAGAGTTACATGAGAGTATGTGGATGCACGTGGCCTTATTTTCGCTGCCATAGTCTCACGATTTGCATAACCGTCCGACGGCAGTTTCTGATTTAAGCGTTGTGCTTCTCTTTGCTGCAGAAAAAGGTGCAGGGCAACAGCCAAATAATTGGTTGCATTGGTCTTATCATCAACCCTGCAAGCCCTCAGGACGCCCAACTGGTGAGAGGCTTAGTAACTGCGCGGGTTTGAATTGTATGTATCAAGGTGGAGGCCTGTTTATCATGCATATTGCATAATCGATTCAAGGTGTTTTGTAGGCCTTTCTATAGGAGCCATTTGATTTTATTTATGATTTCATTTCTATGTGGAGACTTTCGTGAAACTATTTACTTGTACATTGCATTCTTCCCCTTATGGCTGTTTTCAAGGTGCTCCTTGTTTATTTTATTTGTGTAGGTTCGCCTTGTAGTATCCCCTGGGCACCGAGGTGCTGGCGTGGGTTCGCGCCTCCTGTCTGCTGCTTTGGGTTTCGCTGCGAGCTGCCGCTGTCGTTCAATTGAAGTCTGCGCCAATTCTCTCAACGCCAGCAGCGCAAGATTTCTGAGAAACAGACAGTTTGAGCTTTTCCAGGTCGTCAAGAGGAACCTCATGAGGGGTGAGTCTACTTTTGCCGGAGCAGTTTTGGCTGCGTATTCTTCGAGCCTATGTACACATTCCTGAATGTGTTTTTGTGACTCAGGATGTTTACATCCACTATGTTTTGGTTGTTTCTGTGCAGGCGACCTGCTGCGGTGGCGCATGTGGCTCGATAGCGAGGGCAGACCCATGGAACCGAAACCGGACCCGCCATTTGGCACCAGCGGCCTCCAAGCCGAATAGAAGGCCGACAAATGAAGGCTGCCTTGCCGTGTAGACTATATCTTCAGAATTTGTTGGGTACCGAAGAAGGGGTAAAATACGCCTGCGTCTTGGTAGAGAGTCTTTCAGAGAACTGCCTACTCCGCGTGCATCTCTGGAGCAAGCTTCGAGGATATAGGATTTTTCTTTACAAGGCCTACTGATACAGTATTTTCTGCCGTAACCCGGTGCCTTGCTGCTGTTGTTGCGCTGTGCCCTACTGGGAACCCCTCCGCCGGGGGGTCTTCACATTGAAGTGTATTGTTTCGCAGTGCAGAAGTAGCGGAAACCGGTTGTGCAATCATATGCAGTCGCAATATGTTTCCACATAAATGCGTACCTTATAGCGTTTTCTTTTCTACGAGCCAATGGCTCTTTCTGTGGCTTTGCCTGGCGCTGAATATACTAGGTATATTTTTTGTCGCCGAGGACTCAGGATGAGTATGGCAGAGTAATGGTCGTATTGGTGCCATATCGCATCTGCATCTGCGTGTCCGGCGCATTTTCGTAGGTTTCTAATTCAATGTGTATATCTGTGATATGCACATGCATATTTCTACGGGCTGATCAATCTGTACGTGTATTGTTATTTTCCCTATTTGCTATCTTGCTTCCAGCGGATGGCGCCGTGCAGATCGTTGCAGTGAACTGCAGCCGTTTGGCGCTTGGGCCTCCACTACCGTCTCCCCCGTGGTTTTCTTTGCACACGGATACAGGAGCATGTGGCTGTATGTGACGCTCCATCTGTCTCTTGAAAAAAGCACTTTTCTCCAGACTTTATACAAGCTTAATAGGGAGATACTCGGTGGTATTTAAAAATGGCTCCCCATTTCACTGCCTGAGCTCCCACAGAGTTTTGTATATGAGGGAAGGGCAGCTAGACTGCACCTTGCTGCACACCCTCGGCACACTGAGCACCCAGAGCTAGTTTACACAATGCGTCCAGCGCACAGGCACACACTATTGCATCTTATTGTACATAGCTGAAGCTGCATTTCGGCAAATGCTGGAGGAACAGCCACACCAAGTAGTATGTTTACTTCTAGTCGTTGATTTATTTATCTAGTGTAGTGGAAAGTGTTTAAGCGTAGCAAAGCCACTAGATCCCCTCCCATTTTGAGACAGTCAATCTCCAGATCGAGATCGAAGTGTAGGCAATAAACCTGAAGGGTTCTCACCCTATCAGAACTCTCCATAAACGCGGAAGCGCGAAAACAGTGAACCTGAAAAGTAAAGCGGGCACCAACCGGTACAGAGAAATGAAAAGGAGGGAAAGCCACACACTAGCCATCAGAGGACAAGGGAGTAAACCAACACGACTGTGGCGGCATGTTTGCTGCCTTCGGAGGCCACAAAAGTATGAAGACTCCTGCTTCGATACAACAGAAGAAAAGTTTAAGGTGTACAGAAAACCAAACTACACCCTCGTCATGGAGTGTAACTGCACCTCATGAAGCAATGGCTGCATGCAGTACACTCGCTTACGCAGCATAGTAGTTTTCCCAACCTCAAAAGAGACATGTGCACAAATGTACGGACAGCATAGCTGCTCGTGCCTGCTCGTAAATCTGAGTGCAGAGAACACCGTACGAGCGGTACTTGGGGAGCTTTTCATCCATGCAGGTAGCTATTCCAGGCACAACATGTGTTAGGGAAGGCCGATTACCAAGAAATTCAAGGACTACCCTCCATGTTGAATAGCCCTTTTAATCACATTTGCAAAGTGTTCTGTAAGCAACTAAACCCATGACTGCTCCTCTGCCAACCACTGAGGTTGGCGATCCCCAGCACACAACTAGAGATTTCCACTTGGTTCGACCTCAGAGCCTAGTAGTTCTACGATTCAGGACCACTACAGCCCTCCTTAAAGTCTCCGGTTATAAGCGCGACAGCCGTTCGTGTGGCAAGGTCCGTGAATGATCGGGGAAACTTCAAATCGTTTTAAGGAAACCAATACTAATTTTTTTATGGCTTACTCTAGTTTCATTAGAAAGCGATGTAAGAAATGTGTGGATTAGTACAAGCATATGGTCCTGGATACTACAGTGCAACCGTGGTCGTCCATTCACCTTCTGATTCACTCTGTAAGGCCTATCAGCCCCCCATAACCAAACTTCTGTCTGAACTCACACAGCCAAACACCAATAATTTTAACTCCATGCTTGCCTCTCTTGTGCTTTGCTCATACATCCACATGCACTATCCCGCTCTTCTCTGGATCCGCCCGCTTCTAACCGTAGATGCTGAGTGTGGACCACTAGCTTCAGGCCCCTATAAGAGAGGGGCTCCTCACTGCATATCTTTAAAGCTTACATAATAATCCTTCACCCTTTTGCCGTTCTGGACTCCGGTAGTAATAGCGGGTGCATGGGTGTCAGCAACATACGACGCACGCAATTTCAATAGAAGCCGTCAGTCTTAAACAACAAGAGTGGCTTCGTTGTATACTAGTGAACCGCAGCGACGATACGGAAGGCCGTTGTTGAATACGTTGGTGGTGCTCTTACAATTCCTTGCTAAAAAGTTGTAGTGCAATGAGCAGCGAAGCCAGGGAACAAAGCCATTTTTAGCACAGTCCTGAAAACTCCTCGTAAAGGTCAGCAGACGCTCAAGGTCGACCTGGAAAGCGAACTAAAGTCCACCTAAATGATGCAGGCAATTTCGCACTTCCCACCACACTGCGAAGTCCCTTTTCTCACACTGGATGCCGCTGCTTAGTTTCGGTGAAACGATTAGAATACCAAGCAATGATCTGGAACTTTCGATAAAAAAATGCAGCACGTTAAGACAAAAGCCACAACAGCACATTTTCAACCTTGGTTGCTAGGGGACTTCAAAGCTCATAATCAGGCAGTCCAAGTATCGGAAGAGCTGTAAGGCGGCTTATGTACAGCCGTGCTACGGCATCAACCTTCCCTGTCTAGTCACGCGTTGATTTTCTTGAGTAGATCTGTCCCAACAGCAATAATCCAAATGAACGTAGATAGTAAATGGTATCGGTAACCAGGTGTCATCTAAGTGAATTTTGCAACGTCCTGTCGGGTGCGTAAGGCCACGCCTAAATATTCCAATTTTTGCCAGGCCTGGCTCATTTCCTGCAGCCCAATCACGGGGCCCAGAATTACAATTTTTCTCATAAAGGAAAGCACTTGCACGCATTTTCATACCACTATTGCTACCTGCAACAGCTGAAGCGCATGCCATCGGTGCTATCGGTGCTCGTGATCTTTTCGGTTGAATACTGGGACATCATCCATGTAAATAGCCACTCACCCTTCCTTGATAGGCTTATTCAAATGCCAACTAGCCCAAACAATGCAGTTTAGCTGGAGCATTAACAAGTAGAAGCGACATAAATGTATGCAAGAGCTTGTGAGTGCAAGTGTGAAACGGCTTTTTGCGCCTACCAAAGTGAATGAGGATCTTGAAGAAGGCGTATGTGGCATCAGCTGCCGAGTACACCGTTGGCCTGTGCAATCTTCGAGGTACTTATTCAGTAAGAGGCATTGATATTGTGGCTTCTCAATAACGTTTCTAAGGGACATGTAGTAGCGGACCTAACACTCGTTGGGTTTCTCGTTCGAAAGCGAGACCGGGAATGCACCCAGGCGCCGGCAGATTCTTGAATTTTTTTCAGTAAAGCATGTGCCTCTCACTTAAATCCTGTCTTCATGCTGTAGCGAATTCTGATACCATGATATGCGTCCTAGGACTGTCCTGTAGATTAGCTCAACGTGGTGGCCTGGAAGACCAGCAAGTTAATAGCCTGCTGGCAGCTTGTTGATATTCAGCATACGCCCACATCCCACTCGATACTTGTACATTTTATTATGCCTAAGCTGCAATTTTATCCATCTTTCTGATAAAGAACGATTGGAGAATCACTAAGGCGGGCGGCATGCTTAGCTGCGCCTTTTTGCCTTGCTCCGCTGAGCTGCCTGCATCTGAACTATGCCTCACCTTGTCGAGGCGCCAGCTCTAGCTTGCTATGCCAGATGGAATGAAGATTGCTTAGGTTACCAGGTTGTGCTGTTTTCTAGCTCTTTCTGGCAAGCTGACCGCCACAACGCGCAACTGCGGCCACATGCCTGCCTTCCGTTGGGTGCCCCAAACAACACTGAAGATTTCGTTATGCTGGAGGCGTCCACCATGCAGGTCACGGACCATACTCACGAAATCCAATCCCAATTGGAAGCCCCAGTCAATTGCCAAAGCCTTCTCAATTATTGAATTCCGCTGCCTCTCAGCTCAGCAAACCTGAGTCTAAGTGACTGCGTTAACGAATGAACAGTCAGACTGCACTTTCATGCCGGACGCTCTGATAACATACCAAGTTTAGGTACAGGGCTATGAGAAGCTATCAAATATTCACCACTGCTGTGAGCTTGTGTCAACGCAGAATTGAGCCATGGTTAGTTTAGAAGTACAACTTCATCCTCTATAGCCCCCTCCACTGTGTCAGAGCATGCATGAAGGACTTCCCGTTTCCCTGGTGCGCCTTCGTTGCCTGCCAAGCAGCTCGCGTCCGCTGGTTCCAGACCCGCAATTGACTTTGTTCGGCCTTTACCACGCGCTTGCAGCTCCGGATTGTCCAATCCTATTCCCCGTAATACAAGCAGAAGCGTTGCTGGGAGACTGTGTGTGGCTGCATATGGGGGCCGGTTCCCTCTAGCTTTTTGTTTCCATATACCTTGGACTCCAGGCTAAAGCCGGTTGACGCTGCTTTGAAATCCATGGGTTTCGAATTCCGATTTGGCTGTTTCTTATCAGCCATGGATGCAGAGGTTGCGCTCATTTGCTCCTGAAGTCCCAAGGAGTCCATCATTTGTGGAAGCTCCACCTACTAGTTGTTCACTCGGCGACTCGCAGCCCATCCTGTGACCACCTGATGCAGCCCTTTGGTTGCACTCGGGAAAATCGGCTGATAAAGCAGGCGCCCGTCTACGTCCTGGCTTTTGCAAGCCTACGCTTCGTAGTTCCTGGCGTAGCAATCTCTTGATAGATTTCCTTTCTTAGACCTTGGCCACCAGCTCCAAAGCTTGCTAGTAAGCTGAGGTTTGCCACAAATCAATGTCGTGGCATGTGTGAATGTTTGAACTGTGGTAACCGCTTTCTCACCCCAGACGTGCTCCTCTGCACAATAAGGCCGCCATTGAAGTGCTCCTTACAGATAAAACCGTGCCGCGAAAGGGCGCCTTTCTATCCCTTTGCGCGGTACAAGGCGAGCTACTTTACCTATTAGCTGATTGAAGTTTCGTGGTTTTGTTCATCCTGCTCAACTGGCTCCATATAACCAGGCAGGACGTTCGAGTCGCAGTAGGCTCACCGTATTTGAATGTTGATTCCTCATCCATCTTCATAACGTGGACCATTTTTCTGCAGAACAATGCAGCGTAATAGGCTTGGTGGAGAGCAGACCTGATAAATAGCAATTAAGGCGATGAGGGAAGTGAAAAAATAACGTCACTGTTCGTGTAGGCGTGGCTTTGTTACACAGACTCGCCAATAGTCCCTACTCACCTAATGGTAAGTTTCAGAACGTCGAAAATTCTACACATGCTCTCTGGCTTCGGCGTCTCTCATGATACGGCCTTACAGCGAGGTATTTTGAGCTTATCGCCAAGATGGTCTCCGGAGCGCTTTCGCGACGCTGTAGTGTTTCACTACCGTACAGCGAAACCGCTCTTGTAGTTAATGCTTCACGGCTTCTAACAACACAGCCCATTTCTTATGCTGTTGACCCCCAGGCACCCGCCGTTATTGCACAATCCGAAGAATGACAACCGGGTTAGGCAGTACAAGTTTGAGGCTGACCTGCAGCCATTCAATACAACGCGCGGACTCCGTCGTCTGAACGTTCCGTCTTTGCTCTGCAGCACCAATTTGGGCAAGGCAAATGATCGTGTCCTCTTGTTCCACGGCGATATTTGCAATACCGACGGCAATGTCTTACTGTCGCTTTGGTGTCGTGGGCTCCGTCCGGCGGCAGAGGAGTATGCACTGTCGTGCGCAGATTGTCAGTAGCAGAAGCCGGGCATCCCTTCCAAAGGTGGCGTTTTGCAAGGCCTTCTGAGTCCTGTCACGCTTTGAACCGATCTCACTGCGGACTTTATTGTTGAACTGCCGAAGGTCAAGGGTCATGATAAAATGTACGTCGCTGTCGAGAGACTCAGCAAAAAGGCCCATTTCAACTCTTGCTGTAGGCCTGTCAGAGCTCAGGAAGTTGCTTGGTAACTTCAAGTGCATCCCTGTGAGTTCTACAGACTCCCCAGAAGTAATTTTGAGCTCGGGGTACCTTGCTGGTTTGCCCTTTACGTGCCGCCTACGCATTTGACTATAATATGACCTGAGCGTACCACCGAGAGGCCACTAGGCAGAAAAAGAGCTCCAGCCGCACCTGCAGTATTTGAGACACTGCGCATAGAACAATACGGTCGCATAGCTTGATTTTCATCCTCATGTTAAGTGGGCTTAGAATTTAACAGCGCAGTTGAAGACCGGCTGCTCCCCCGCATCCCCATGCTACACTTAGAAGCACGTGTCGGAACCGGGCCTTGACTTCGTGGTTTGGGGTTCAGCAGCCATCCTTGGCAACGGAACGAGTCAGGGAACAGCCAGCCAGTGCAAGCAAAGGGCTGTGAAAGCTTGAGAGAGACATCATTGACTATACTAGTTGGAGTTCGGCTGTGTATTTCTAGCCTGGGCATTGGCTTCTCGTGTATTGATAGTCTCCTAAGGGTGCATTGAAGCTTACTGGAGGAACACGCCTGCGTCCAGGCGGCCATTACTCCCTTGAGTCAATACATTTCTGTTATCGCTTTATCTAGAGTTGAAGGTGGCACAGAAGTATCAGTACGGGCTTCCATAAGAAGTTTCGGGACTCCCTCAATCGTTCGCGGAGTTCGCTGCGCAATCAAGTGAATCGCGTGTAGGCGGAGAAATACCCAGAGAATTCCATAGCGGTACTGGCTTCTAGAAATGATGAAGCTTCTAATTTACAGCTCTGTCTAGTTCGCACCTGTAGTTGGCACAAACGGAATCCTCCAGCTTTTTAGAAATTTTCTTGCCCTAGCGCCTGTTCTGCTGATTATAGCTAGCTTTATCCAAAAATAGTGCTTGAAATGTGTCCGAGTATTAATTTTAAGGTGTCTTCAACACCCGGATCTATGCGCAGGCACTTTAGGGTACTTGCTTATGCGCCTTTTGGGTTTTGCAAAGCGACTGCGCTGCGTGACTTGGGCGTGTTGCACATTAACCTTGCTCTGCGAGGGGTGAAGGTACTGTTAAACGAGTGGTTGTTTGATTTTCCTCACACATTCTTATTAGGACTTGTTTTCTCAGAGTAGGAGGTTCACACATTTCAGCACTCTGAAGACAATGAACAATCTCAGAAGAGGGGTCGTGTTTGCTTGGTTCTTCGAAGGCTGCTGGCTTCTGTGTGTATGTGTTTTTGTTTCCGTCAAACTCTCTGTACGGGTTTTTGTACTCTTCGCTTGCTCATTCGTATTTTTCCTGTTTTTGCTTTCCTGGAGAGTGTGCGAATGCTCGAAATGCTTAGAGGGTGCAGCAACGCGCACCGTAGCTGTCCTTTGCCATTCATATCGGAATTCTGGGGGGCGCGATCAAGGAATGGAAAAAGCCTCTCTTGGAAAGTAATCGCCGCCTTATCCTAGGCTTGTACGTACTCTGAAGTCCAGCGGTTTCCAGAAAATATTGTAGATGGAGCGTATAATGTGCCAGTTTCATTATGGGACGCAACGTTAGCACAGCTAGGAGCAAATTGATGGTTTCGAGGTTTTGTCAGCGCGTCTGACCCATTCAGTATTCAAAAGTATGCGCGATTCTCTTCCTGGGTAGTGTTTATGCCTAATGTGGCCTCTAACACGGTCAGTTTCCACCCTACGCGGCAGACCTTCGCTTTGGCCTTTAGGAAGTACATCAAGCTGATTGAGATGCTCGGTCCCAGATTTAAAAGGTCTTAGTTGCACTTTTGCTAGTGTCAGATCCGAAGGAAACAGATGAACAGTGCCCTGGGGATGAGGAAGCTGCTCAGTAGAACGGCCGTTTGTAGCCACACAAACCATTGAGAATCCACTCATGGGCTTGCACATGCAACAGCTGCATTCTGAAGCGGCGAGAAATTCTATAAGGCAAAAAAGTGCAGGATTCATTGGCTGATTATGCCACTAGGAATAAAGTACAGAATCCGAATAGAGGTCTTGCTGCCTACCAAGGTACTGGAAGTGCAACGAAAATGATGTAGCAACAGCAAGGCAGACTCCAAGAGCCGCAAAAAGGCACGAGTGTACAGCGAATTCCTCTCAGAACAAGGAATCTTACGCCTTTACTAACACATTCGCCCTTGCATGTATCGCAGTTCGGCACAGTTGCCTTTGTACTTCCCACTCATATGTTTGGCTTCCAGTAGCCGCAATACCGCCACCCAGTACACCCCATGCGTCCCTCCTTCTGCTTTAACCTGTGCTGCACAGAACCTTTTAATCGCTTTAGCAAGATATTTGAGCACTGTTGGAGCAGTGCCAGCCTTCAACGCCCCCTAAAGGCCCGGTGCTGCATGCCATCCGTTACTGCATACCGGCCCCGCGGACCGCCTGTGTTGCGGCGTTTGCTGCCGTCTTTGTTTGAGAACAAACTCTTTTATCTCCAGTGTCAGGACTGCTGTAACTGCTTCTTCAGGTGAAGCCTCTCTCAGACAGCGGCAACTCCCGCCGCAGCCATTCAATCGCCAGGGAAACAACTAGAAGCACGGTTCCACCTACAGGGGAGCAGCAGTGGCAGCTTCCTTGTCCACAAATAGCTGCTGCATGCACTAGCAGCAGCAGCAACAGCAGGGCCGGCATGCAGGCTGCAGCAGCGATTTTGCTGCAGCAGCAGCTGCAGCGTGGCATTCGGGCTGGCTTGCGACTTTCTGGAGTTCTTGAAGGACTGAATTCGCTCCCCCGTGCTCCCTACTCACGACTGCTGCCCCAAACGCGGCAGAAATGCGCACTGGTATCACCATGGAAGCATGAAACAGCTTCAGCAACGGCAGTGGCTGCAGCTGCAGCTAGCGCGTCGGTACAGGGAGAGGCTTCTGTCTTCGCTCAAGGGACAGCTCGGCGTCACCTCCTGCACCATCAGAAAGAGAGAACGCCTTTTCGTTCTTCTGCTGCGCTGATACATTCAGGTCAGCATGACTTGTTTAGTAGTAGCAATAGCATCCCGCTGCTGAATAGTATAGGCCAACACAACAGTGCCGCTCCAACAGGCGACAATGCAGTTGAACAGCTGAGGCGGCAAAACCGTTCGCCAAAGCAGCTGCTACTGGATGATGGGGGGCATCAGCGGAAAATACAGAAGCAGCAGCAACAGCTCCTGTTGCTACATGAGGCAACAGAAAGGGTGCTGCACTTGGCAGCAGCGGCTCCCGTGGTCCTCCTGGATAGACTGCTCCCCTCTTTGCAGCGGCAGCTGCTCTATGCAGCGGCAGAAGCAGCAAAAGAGAAGCAAGCTGCAGCTAGCGTATTGCTGCAGCGCCTCACGCAAAGTCTTTCGCGCCTCAATAGTCGGAGCAGCAGTGGCAGCAAGCCAAAGGACCCCAATGAAAGCAGCAGTAGCAGCAGCAGCAATGGCGCTGCTGACAGGGAAGGTGGCAGCGTTGGTCAGAGGAGAGACGACAGATACAGTAGCAACAGCAACGACAACGGCAACAGGGAGCCACGCAATCAAGGCCCGGCAGCACCTGGGGGTAGCTCGCGGCGTGTGCCACTAGGCTTTGAGGCTTTCTATCCTAAGGAGGCTTCGAAGAAGGCAGACACAAGCAGCGGGGGGGCTAGCAGCGTAAATGCCAGCAGTAGCGGCACCAGCAGCGGGCGACTGCCCTTCATGCCTCCATCTGGAGGTGCCCTGCAGCATCTGTTACTAAGAATCTGTATTTGGCTTGGCTTCTGGATCTTTGCACTTTCACTGCTCTCGAGGGTTGCGGAGCCTCAGCTGTCACTACAGGTGGGATGCGAGGATAGACCTTGAGAGCGCTGTTGTGGCTGCTCGCTTAGTTGTGTAAACAGACCCAACTGCAGCCGCATTAAGACCATTTTATATCAAGAATATATGTACTTGTTATATATATGTATATAAATAACAAGGGTATATATATATATCTATAGAGGACATGTATCTACATATACATGTATATAACACTGTGGGTCCTTAGGAGTGCCGTCTTTTTCAAGTTGCAACAGAAGGATCAGCAGCAACAGCAGCAACAAGGGCGAATGTATATGTGTTTGCCTGTGCTGCTGCTGCTTTCAGGAATTTTTAAGCTCCTACGTGGCAAGGGGCTTGGTGGAGAAAGTTGTGGTGGTTGGCGATAGAGGCCGCTGCACTGCGGTAGTTCGGGCGCCACCCACTCCAGAGCAGTTGCAGGAGATCCAGCAGCAGCAACGGCAGCAGATGATGATGTATGCTCAGATGCAGCAGCAGCAGCAGCAGCAGCGGATGCAGATGCAGATGCAACAGCCGCTTCAGCAGCCCCTGACGGTGCAGACTCCTCAGCAGGCGATGCAGCAGAACCCGCCGATGCAGCAACTGCAGGCTTCCGCCCAGCAGGATTACTTGTTTGCGTATCCTCAGCCGCAGCAGCAGGCCTTCCAGTCACAGGCGGTGCTGCAGGATCATCAGCAGCTACAACAGCCAAAGTTAAGCGACATACTGCCAAAGAAACATATCGTTCGGTTCCGGACAGGCCTTGCTCCCGAAAGTTTCATAGAGAAAATGGAGCATTTTCAGGTCCTTCCAGAGTTGCACCCGAAGAACCGTAGCTGCATAAGAGTTTTAAACCCCGCTTCTTGACTCTAAGACCCCGTTTAGCGTGGCTAAGGGCTGCTGGAGAGCCGCGGCAGGCGGCTAGCGGCAGCATATCCCGACGGCCCTCTCAAGAAAGCGTCTCAGAGACACAAAGCTCTGAAACAGTCCTTGTCGTGTACAGTGTTGCATCGACTCGCTTCCCTATTGAGGTGGTGCTTTGTGTAGGCGTCTCTGGGTATCCACCCGAAGGATTTCCTGCCCATCTACGTGGAAGAGGGTTGGAGCCTCAGTCTCGGCGATCTGATTGCGTCCACCTTCTTCCTTCTCATTATTGCAACGATAGCGAGGGACCTCCTCATGGGAGGCGCGATCAACAGGTACTTTTGAATGTTCTCTCTCTCTCTCTCTCTGTCGCGCGCATGTATTGTGCGTGCTTCTTGACGCCCAGAGGCCCTCCCCTGCAATTGAAGACGGAGGAGAAGTGACCTCTAGAGGCTGTCCAGTCCTCTCGGGTGCAGGATTTCTAGACAGCGCCGCTAAACTGCGAGAGCGGCGGCCCGTGCCGCACAGGGTAGACTCGAGGTATTTATCCCATCTTGCAGCTTTGAGAGTTTTGGCGAAGAAAAGTGTGTGGCTGCGTCCGTCTGCAGGGGGGGCAGTGCAAGTGGCCTGAATCGTCTGCTAGGCAGCAGCAGTTCGAAGAGAGCGCGCATCAAGCCCGACACAGTAGGGTGCTTGGCTTAAGGGGGAGGGATCTTTGCTGCTGGGGTTCGCTTAGCAAAGGGGTTTGTGTGGACACCGATGAGTGTGGCTTGGAATGCGGGGGGGGGGAGGGAGCACTGCAGAAAGGAGTGGTGTGTGGCTGCCTCTTGATTTGCAGGTGAAGGTTCGCTTTTCGGATGTTGCGGGTAGGCGCGCCTCCACACGACTGTGGGAGTTAGGAGAAGCTTGCCGCTCAGTGCCCTGTGTGTGTAGTGTAGAACGCGCTTGTGCAGTTCGCGGTCTGCAAGGCTTCGGTGTGCCTTGTGCTTGGGTGTTGCTGGTCTTGCGGGTGTAGGCCTTCATGAGGCCAAGCGGGAGATCATGGAGTTCGTAGCTTTCCTAAAAAATCCTACTTCATTTCATAAAATGGGGGCCAAGTTGCCCAAGGGCGCTCTTCTGGTTGGGCCCCCTGGTACGGGCAAGACGCTTCTGGCCAAGGTGAGCCGAGGCTCGTTGAAGTCTTGCGGTGTGTATGTGTATGTATGTGTGTGTTTCTGTGTGTATGTATATGTGTGTGTTTCTGTGTTGTGTTTGTGTTTCTGTGTTTTTGTGTTTGTGTTTCTGTGTTTTTTGTGTTTGTGTTTCTGTGTGTGTGTTTCTGTGCGTGTGTGTTTCTGTGCGTGTGTGTCTCTCTCTCTCTGTGTTTCTGCGTGTGTATGTGTTCTCGGCCTTGGTGGGAAGGGTGCGTGAGAAGGCTGCTTTTGGGGTTGAGTGGCGCAGCGCCTGTCTTGCGGACGGTTTGTGTATTCGCGGTGAAGCAACTGGGGGAGGGCCAAGCCACTTGAGGGTTCCGAGAGTTATGGCTGTGTCTGTGTGGGCAGGCCGTTGCTGGAGAGGCGGGTGTCCCCTTCTTTTCGATTAGTGGCTCCGACTTTGTAGAGCTATTCGTGGGAGTTGGAGCCTCCCGCGTTCGCGAGCTTTTCGACGAAGCAAGAAAAGCAGCGCCTTGTTAGTTTGGGGGGCAGAAATAGGGTGTAGGAGGACATCGGTGTGATGCCTTCTCAGGATCCTTGGCTGCTGGGGAGGAGAGGGTGTCTTGGCGTGTCGAGGTGACCTCGTGATTTTGCAGAGGGTGTCTTGGCGTGTCGAGGTGACCTCGTGATTATGCAGAGGGTGTCTTGGCGTGTCGAGGTGACCTCGTGGTTTTCTTGGGAATTGTCTCCTGCTACCGGGACGCGTGGGTTGCGGCTTATTCCTTGCTTTCTCTGGTATTGCGTGTGCTTGTCTTAGCTATCATTTGGATCGACGAGATCGACAGCGTAGGCGCCAGCCGCAGCACTCAGTTTGCAAACAGCGAAAGGGAGCAGACGCTGAATCAGCTGCTCGTTGAAATGGATGGTTTCTCTCCACAGCAGTCGGTTGTTGTTTTGGCAGGTACGTGCACTTTGGAGGGACCCCATGGCAGCTTCCTGCCGAGAGATGCATGTGCATTTAGGAAGTCTGCTCTTCCTCACCGTCCCCCTTTTCGGAGTGCATGCGATTGTCCAAGAAGGGTCGGGGAAAGCTATGGTCGTCTTTGCTCAGGAACCAATCGAGAAGATTTGCTGGATGCGGCTTTGAAGCGCGCGGGTCGCTTCGACCGACGTGTAATGATCAATAGGCCTGATGTCAAGGAGCGAGCCGAGATCTTCAAGGTGAGACATGGGCACGACACTCCTACAGCATTATCCCGAAAAAAGTACTTTTCTTCTATTACTTCGCTAGCTTTGGAATGGACGGTGTCTTTAACCGTCCAAGAAAGACTGCCACCTCCTCCTGGGTGCTCCTCTGCCTGCCGAGAGGAGGCCCTCTCTGGGGCGATATGCCGCCTTTGTCTTCGTCTACCCTTCCTTCCGTCTGACTGCTTGGTGTGCCCTGTGGTATACATATACATATATGTATATGTATGTATATGTCTATTTTTCGCTCGCCTCCACCGTCTTCTCCGCAGTTCACCAGCAACAACTGGAATGCGCCTCCAAGCCTTATAACCCTTTTTCCCTTCCGTCCGCAGCCGTGCATCTAGAAAGGTTGAAGACGCTTGTGCTGCCGCCTTCTGACTTTATCCTATTTGTTGCTGTAACCCTCTTTCCAGGTCCATCTTCAGCCCCTCAAGCTGTCTCCCCGCGTTGACGCCGATGCCCTGGCCGAACGGATGGCTGCACTCACTCCTGGAATGGTGGGGTTGTCTTTTTACTGAGCGCGTTGCTGCCTGCCTAGAAAGCGTTCTCTTCTTTTTTCGTTTGTCCGTTTGCCCTTTTTCTGCGTGCGAAAGAAGGCGAGGCCTTATCCGATATCGTTCCACCATGCAGGGCTCAGCCAGCGTGGACGCGCACAGCTGCATCTTCAATGACCCTCATGCTGCATGCAGTCTGTGCCCGAGTACCTAAAGCCTCGTGCATGTGCATATGCATGCCAGTCTGTCTGTTCGTAAATCGGCTGTGCTTTTATCTGAAAGTGCACGAGGCGCCGAGAGGGGCGCTCGTAGTCTTGATGGACGACTAGCGCGTGCGTGCAGTTGTCTTGAAAGCGTTGCATGTGTTGCTGCTGTACACACAGGTCGGTGCAGACATAGCAAACGTTTGTAATGAGGCAGCCATCTACGCCGCGAGGAGGCGCAGCAAGCGGGGCATTGAGCAACGGGTAAAAGCGGCAGTGGCCGTAGTTGCGGTGTCTTTATAGCCTTCGTGCAGCGTGATATCCTGCGCTTGTCAGTCCTTCCATTTGAGGAGATAGCCCTCGCGTGCTTTTGATGAAGCAACTTGAACAGACGCATGCGGCAGGCTCTTGAGGAAAGAGGTAGACGGGGTGGTGACTTGTATGTGTGTGGTTGGGTGGAGGCGGTGTTTGGCTGTTGATCGTGCAGGATTTTGAAATGGCAGTAGAACGGACTCTTGCAGGTCTCCCCTCGAACACGAAGAGTCTGATGTCCGACAAGCAGAGGAAGACGATTGCGCTTCATGAAGCGGGTCATGCTGTTGCAGGCTGGTTCTTGAAGCATGCAGGTGCGTTGCGCTTCAGGTTGGAGCTTCTCTTGCTGATTTGGCACGTGCATTGGGTGTCATATTTGCTTGTCCTGGCCATCACATGCATTTTGCGGTGCTTGTGTTGTTATCTTCTTGCCGCTGCCGGCTGCGAACAATGCATTTTTGTGTCCTACACCCGGAGCTGGGGAGGCGCAGGGGCGGTAAGAGTTTTGCGACGTCTCGCCGATGCGCTTGTGTCTCTCTGTGCCTCAGATGTTGTGCTGAAGCTGACAATCATCCCCCGAGACAGCGGAGCGATGGGCTTTAGTCAGCAGATGCCTCCTCCCGTCGAGCTGTATGAGAAGGAGGCTTTGCTGGACCGCATTGCGGTCTGTCTTGCAGGCCGAGCCGCGGAGGAGCTTTTCATGGAATGCATCTCCAGTGGTATGGCCGCAGTCGAGGACTTGGGCGTTTATGAAGGGGTTTCAACAATTTCATATTAATGCTACTATTATGAGTGCTGCAAACCGTGGAGAATTAGGTATTTACGCGCAAGGCTTTAACGCGCTCGCTTGGGGCATGCAATGCGTGCGACACAGGGGCGGTTGACGATATAGAGAAGGCGACCCACTTGGCGCGTCTGATCGTCATGCAGCTGGGCATGAATCCTAAAGTTGGTCTGGTGAACTTGAAGCGAAGCAGGCAGAATCCGCAGGATCCATTTCAGCCTTTTTCGGATGCAACTGCCCAAGTGAGGAGACCTAGAAGTGGCTGCTGTTTGCAAGCCCTCAAGTTGCTGCTTTTAAATCCACACCCTTCGGGTTACAGGACGCTGCTGCTGCTGCTGCCTCCTCTGGGGTGTATGCGTACAGCTTGTGGATGACGAAGTGCGAAACTTAATTGCTGAACAATATGAACGCGTGAAGCAGTTACTCAAGGAGAGGGAAACGGTGTGCTCCACTGCCTTTGCCCCCAGTCCCTTCCCCTTCTTCTTCGCCCAAAAGGCGTCTATATAGATGTAGAATTGTGTTCATAACCCATCTACGCTCCTTCTGTAATGTAGAGACACGCTATCCGTGTCCTTGTGTGATGCGTTGTTTTCTGAACTGGGGGTGACTTGCTCACGGGGGTGCTCTCTTTTGTGGCATTGTGATGCTGTTGTGCTCTTGTGCCTCTCCGTATCTCTCCTGCGGGGTGTCTATATGTATATGTAGATATACCTTTCTTCTCGATCTGAGGCGTGCGGATCATCCTTTCTTGACGCTTTCTGCGTGTTGTTGTCTCCCGCCTTCTCCCTTTGCTCGCTTTGTACGAATCATTGCCCGTCTTGTCCTCTGTGCATGCGGCCCTGATTGCGTCTCTCCCTGGCGCTGCAGGAAATGCGCGCTCTCAGTACCGTGTTACTTGAAAAAGAATCCCTCACTTTCGCCGATCTCCAGGATTGCCTTGGTCCAAGGCCATTCCCTCCAGATCCACAGCTCGCTGCATACGTGAATGCCCTTCCCACAAGGGCCTTGCTCGCGCCGTCAGAGGGCGACAACTCGACCGGAGACAATTCTCAAGAAGTCGATGCCACTCAGAATTCAGCCGCTGACGCGAGTTCGGACGCCTCAGCAGCAGCGCCTGGTGCAGGCGGTAGTGGCGGCAGTGGCAAGAGCAAGAAAACTTCTCCTGCAGCAACAAGTACGGGGGGCAGCCAGCAGGAGGACGAAGAACGCGAAGAGGACAGCCCTCAGAAGGATGCAAGTGACTCCGATGATGATAAAGATGATGACGACGACAACTCTCAGGGCCCCCCCAGAGGAGGCCCCAAGAGGAAAAAGCTCTTTGGTAGAGGCGATGATGACTCCTGCGTGCCCGAGCTCCTCAGGAAGAATCTTCAACCCAAGACGCCTGCTCCATCTGCTGTTGCACGAGGAGCAGATCTTGGCAGCACACCCTAGCCTCTAGACTTCACCGCTTCGTACACTATCAGCTGTATGCACCCTCAATAGTAGTGTTGCCCCGCCAGAGCAACGGGCTGGGGGGACGGGGAGGGGTGGAGGGATAGAAGCGGTGTGGCGGTGCCTTTTATTGGAGTACCCAGCTCAAGGCCTACATGCGCCAAAATATGGCTGCACACTCCCCACGTTTTCCCACTCCTCTACCCGGTGCTCGGGTTTGCCTTCTGCTGATGAGCTAATATATATATATATATACCTTTTTGCTCTGTCTGCTCGACAGCCTGGCTGCACGAAAAAGCTGCATGACACCCTGCCGCGGCGGTTCATGGTGGTCTTTCTCCCCCGCGCCATCAAGTGCTTCTTTATGCAAGTCGCCTTCCATGTCTGCCATTTTTTCCCGATTCTTCTCCCCGCAATTGCGTCGCTCTCCCTGGCAGCTTGTTTCGCTTCGCGCCTTTTTCTGCTGCGTTAATGCCTCGGTCTCTTGCACGGCAGGCAGAAGGCAAATACAATGATGAACAAACAGAAGCTTATCATTTAGAGGAGCAGCTCGATAGAAGCAGAGGTAGGAAGCGTTCTGGATTAAGGCGATTTCGTAGGACACCTGTGTGCTCGATTGTTTGGGGGAAGCATGGGGGACAGGGCAGCAAAACGCCGCTACCATCTATAGTTCGGCCTTTATGCCGAACGCAGACTGGAGCCCGCACAGCAGCTGCAGACAAAGGGGGAGCTGCATCTGACTAAGTGCTTAACCTGCTGCAGAAGATCGTACAAAAAAACACTCACCAATAGCTATGTTTCTTTAATGAAGTAACACTTTCATGCAGCCGTAGGTGCAAAATGTGCTCAGTCCAGTGTGCAGCCACCTACGGGGAAGCCGGAGGCGCTTTGCCGTTAGAGATAGCCCTACATAGGAGGGTAAACATAAAATAGTGAAGGAACCACAGCTCGTGAGGAAATGAATGGTACCGCGCCTCATGGGCCCTGTCACGAGATCCGCGATTCTTAAGTTAAAAGTACAGCTCTAGGGAAAGCAAGGAGCTTTCCGTTTTGAGTGCTGCCTATCCACTCTCTTTGCGGTCACCACCCCACTTGGTTTGGGGATGAAGAGGGGGAGGAGAGCTGGGGTGTACGCCCTGCACCCTTTGAGCATTTGAAGCATATGCGGCCAACGCCAAATTGCAGCTTAGCGCGCGATGCCCATTTTCGTGGTACGAAGCTAACTAGTCTGGTTCTGCGGTAGGTCGCCTGTGCTCGCATCCGGGCTCTTCTATCAATACTTACCGATACCTTAAGGACTGCCCATGTAGTGGACACTCTCAAAGCGTATGTTGGCGGACGTGCGCGGCACGCCAGGGGACTGTGGGTGAAAGCGGATTATTTTTTGGCGAGGGAGAGGAGAACACACCCTGATGTGAAACAATAGGAACACTTTCAGCGCCCTCTTCTCGGAGTTTCCATGCTATTACACGTTGCTCTCTGGCTTGGCAGCTCCTACTTTTTCCTGGAGTGGGAGACGTGCATTTACGCGTGGTAAATGCCAGACAAGCGCGAATGCGTCCTGGAGGAACGCCGAGACCGTGCGACAGAGATCCTCTACGACGGCTCGACAGTTACGATCGCGGCATCGCCTCAGAGCTAGCTCGACAGGTTAAAAACTCATAATGCGTCTTTTCATCCACAGAGGGATGTTCTGCGCACGTGGGTTTGCAAGTGAATCTATTTGAGCACCTGTAGTTGAGGCCTCCGCTCTCCCCCGGCCTGTGAGGGGCCCCGCCCCACACGTGGGCAGGACACCGAGCAAGACGCATAGCAAAACAATGTTTGTAATTTTGCAAAGCATTCTTGAATGTAGATTCCTCTCACTTGACCCTCAAGCAGATCCCCTCGAGGTGGGGTGTATCCGCAGCGCCTCCGCTGCTGAGTCTTAGAGGCGTCACCGCATCTGCTTCTTCTGTTCTTCTGCTGAGTCCTCCTCCTCGTGGTGACCGAAATCTGCATTTACTCAGCCTTTCGCTCCATGGCGATGCGTTCACGCCGCCTTCCGGGGGCTCTTCCAAAAACACGGCACTGTCAGAGTTCACCGAAGCGGAAGAAAACGCAGGCAGAGGAGGCCGTAGATGGGTCCTTGAAGGCTTCCGACGCTTCTGAGACCGCAGCTTCCATTCAGATCGACGACGTCGAGTCATCTGGTGAAGATGACTCGGTGGAGACGCCAGAAATCTCTGCCGCTCCTGGCACGGCCTCAGCATCCGTAGCCACAGCCTCGTCCACTTTCGGTTCCTTAGGCGTCTGCCCGTCCCTCTGTGCTGTCTTGCAGCATCTCTCTATCTTAGAGCCGACTCCAGTGCAGCGCGTTTCTCTCCCTTTGGGGCTTTCGGGACACGATTTCTGTGCGATCGCCCCTACGGGTACCGGCAAAACTTTGTGCTACTTGTTGCCAGTGCTGCAGCGCCTGCATCAGGGCATAGGGCACGCCTTTATGGCTTTAGTGCTGCTGCCTGCACGGGAGCTTGTTTCGCAGGTGGGGGAGCAGTTTGGGGTGTATGGACAGCACCTTGCCCTCCGCTGGGTGGAGGTGACCGGAGGGAGGGACATGATGATTGAAGCCACTGCACTGCAACAGCAGGCGCCGCATGTGGTTCTGTCGACTCCTGGGAGACTGGCGGACTTGCTGCAAAGAGAGAGAGGCGTAGCAGCGGCAGAGGAAGCAGCTGACGGGGTAGACGCAAGCGAATGTGAAAGTGGGGGAGAGAGGGGCAATGACACAGAGGAACGGAAGACTTTCCGAGCGTCGGTCAGGGGTTCCATTCATGAGCGGCTAGGAGCTGTTGATTGCTTGGTATTGGATGAAGCCGACAGACTGTTGAGCGAGGAATTCGGCCCCGATTTGGGATTGTTGCTGTCTGCGCTACCTGCTGCTGCGTCGGGGAGGCAGACCCTGTTGCTCTCTGCAAGTCACAGTCCTGCGCTGCTGCAGCTGCAGCAGGAGTTTGGTGACGACCGCATGCCGTTGCTGCATCCCGAGGCAGCAACAGCCTGTCCTCCCCAGCTACAACATCGCTACATCTTTGTTCCGGCAGCCATGCGGGGAGTCTACGTGCTGCACTTGCTGCAGGAGGAGCCATTCGTCTCCCAGCGTGGCATCGTCTTTGGGGGTTCCGTGCGGCGGACGCAGCAACTCGCTACAGCCCTGCAGCAGCTGGGGATCGCATGCGTTTGCCTGCACTCACTCTTACAGCAGAGGCAGCGAGTTGCCGCTCTCTCGGCGTTCCGTAGCCAGCACATGCGTCTCCTTGTTGCAACAGACGTTGCAGCGCGGGGCTTGGATCTCCCGAATTTAGACTTCGTCATCAATCTGCAGCCTCCTAAAGAGCCAGAAGTATATGTGCACCGCGTTGGTCGCACTGCTCGCGCTGGGAGAAGGGGAGTTGCGGTCACATTCGTGGTGAGTCTTACACAGGCACATCGGAGGCCCCTTCTGTACACGTAGGGGGCCTCCTGTAGGGTTTCTGGGGAGTTCTATGTGGGTGCATCTCAACAGCGGAGCCTCTAGGGGCCCTTAGAGAGGGCCCCTCAAAAGGGCCCTCTCTAAGGGCCCTGTCTTGCGGACTGCATGCGTTTCTCTATTGGGCATGAATCCCCGTTGCGCTTCAGCCACAGCTCATTTGAAGACGTATGGCTTGCGCTGCTGGCAGACGGCAGTCCTTGAGGATGAGATTGGCGGCTGGCAGGGGTCTACGTACTATGCCCAACTAGGCCTTTGTGTTTGTGTGTATGTGTGTTGGGTGTGGTGCGTGGGATGTGCAGGACCCTGTGGATGTTGCCGCCCTTCACCGCATAGAGGACTTCATTGGATGCCGACTTCAGGAGCAGCCGCTCTCCCAAATTGGTAAGACAGCTCCTCGAAAGGCCGCAGGCGGAAAGTAGGAGGGCTGAGGGTAGACGGCAGGCGAGAAGCAGAGCGAATGGGCAGGAAAAGAACATAGATGGAGATCTTCTACAGAATGAGCTAGATAGACAGACCTAAAGTGCCGTACAGGCGGATAAACAGAGGCGAGGCGAAATGCGGTTGATAGAAAAGATTTTGGCTCCTTTTGTTTGAAGACTTCTGTGTGGAGCTTTTTTGTCTTGGGTTTAGTATCCTTATTGCTTCTTTTCTCTCCGTGTAGCTGCCGCTTAGTCGAGTGACTCGTTCTGTGCGTCCCAAGGATTCACAGTTAGCATGCCACTTGCCACTCCACGCCTGCTCCCCTGTGCGTTTCTAGGTCTTGAAAGATGATTCTCTTTTTTTGCTGTGGCCCTGTCTGTCTCTCTCAGGTCTAGCAAAGAAGGTGCGACAGATGCTGGGCGCGGAGGCGCAAGCGCTCGATCGCTTACGCCTCAATGGCTTTGAACAGAAGGCGGAAATATACGAAACTGCGCAAAAAGAATACCGGAGGCTTAGGCGGGAGAAGCGGAATAGAGCTGAGGGAATGTAAGGGAGGCATATTTTGTCCGAACCTGTTTTGCTGCGGACGTGAGAGGACCCAGCCCAAAATGGCATTTTTGAAGACTGGGAGGACGTGGTTTTTTCCTAAAAGGGCTCATTTGTACCCTATACACGGTGATATGCTACACATAACCCTCAGGTACAGTGGGCATCATTTAGGGATTAGGGGATACCTGCAGAGTTTAGTGTCTAGGCTTCATCAGGAGTGTGTAGGTGTGTGCAGTGCGGTTTCCGCTTATTTGCACATGGCATTTGACTCATCCTCGCTCCTGCTCCCTCCGCCCCGTCCGGCCTTGTGCCTTCTCCGCCACAACGCGGATTATTAGGGTTTTACGGACTTCAGGGGCTGGGAATGGGCAGGGAATGAGGTGAATGTCGCAAGTGCCTAAAGTACCAAAACAAATAGCGAAAAGCAAATGAGAGGGAGGGCGATTAGAACTTGCTTCAAGCTGTAGATGAACCAGATCATGTGATCCAAGTTACATGTTAGATCAACACATCTATTCTGCGGCCGCCCGCTAAGGAGCCCTTATTAAAGAATAGCAAAACAGGGCAATCTAACGAAGTAGCACTGAAGACTGCCAAAGTTGCGCAAAAGGAGGCAACAGGGAGGTGTTCTGCTGCCGCCAACGGCTGGCCAGGGGTTTGGAATACTGGGAAGAGCAATGGAGTCTTTCCTTTGGGGAGCCAAACCCCAATAGAGTGCCAGGTGGTACAAGCAATACAACGCGATGAACAGGTGCCTTTTGTTTCAGCGACTGTATGCCAGTTAACACGGAAGCTTTGCCAACAATCTTCAAAGGGTGAAATAATTGCAGCTGTGCGTCTAAAGACGTGCGCATGCCTCAGCATAGCGGTTATTGTGAGGGTCGGGGAGAGGCTGACGACGGAATCGTTCCGCGCTCGTGTGACTCTTTGGGAACCTGCAGATGATCGCGGTGCTGCTTTAACTAGCCGCATGGGATGCGTGCCTCGAGTGGGCAACACTCTACAAAGCGTGCCTGCTGCTCTTGTGTTGTGCTGCATGCTGTCCAACTAGCATTGAAACGGATTGTGTTTGCAGGTCAGAACTCCAGGAAAGGCAAAACAATGGGCACATCAGAGCCGCTTCCAAGCTTTTAAGCCATCGATGTATTAGCACAGAGTAAGGGATGGGTGAACCATTTGGGCTACATTCTATGAACTTTACTTTGTATTACTACGCATACCCTAGAGAGCACATAGAGCACCTGCATTGCCAATTTTTTTTGAGCTATGCCTGTGAGAGCACGGTGCTGCAACGAGTGCCATGTGACCAGTGAGGGGGTTGAGCGGGGCTCCGTCTCCTTAGTGCTCATCCTTGGCTCCTTCAGCAATGATAAAATGCTTTTGGAGGGTGAGTGGCGTCAAGAGGAGGACTTTAGGAGGGTGTGTTAAGCAAGAGCAGCGTCCCTTCGGTATGCTATCCTCCAGGATTTAAGGTGACTCATAAAGCTCCTACTGAAATCATAGCGTGAAGCCGACACCGAAGTGCCTCTCAGCCAGAAAGTTCACAACATCTGCACCGGCAGAGATCAATTCTTTAAACAAATGCTCAAAATGTCTACTTTGTGGGGCGCAAAATAAAACCCAGCACATAAGCCGTGTGGCCCACGGTCCACACAGCTTGGATTATGAGCATAGTTGCACGAAAATATTGGTTTTTAGCAGGTTTTACTTATATCAAGAGAAGGAAAGAGCCACCTGCAATGTCTTGGAGTACGCGAATCTTTATGGAAAGTTGTGGGCACCCGCCTGTAGATGCTGACACAGGCAGCAGTCCTTCGTGGAAACGCAACCCTGAAATAATTTGCGCTTGCCTTAATGTTCAAACCTACACTATTGTACGACACTTACTAAATCCATGCCAAATGGAAGCTCTTGCTAAAGACAAGGGACAACGAGCACAGCCCCTTGCACGATCCAAACCCCACTGGAAAACCAGCAGTGACCTGCCGACCCTCAGGGCAGCAGTCCCAATTGAGCCTAATAAAAGGTTCCAGAGCCACATGCAAGCATAATTCAAGGCACATCATTGAAGCTTTTCTTTACCACTGCTGGCCAGAACAAAAATATGCTCTTGGTGCCGCCGTTTCTCCCGAGTCGTGGGGAAGACCGACATAGACATTCACTTTGTTTACTTTGTTTTGCATTCTTGAGTGCCCGCTACCTGGGCCTGTTTTAAGCTCCTTTTGAGTCCCTTTGGGTCTGCTTCTTTGTGACGCGGATGGCCGAATCACTCTATGTGTCGGAGAAGCAGAATGCTACTTCCCCATCGCTAGCCATAGGGTCTTTGTAGTGCGCAAATCCTGAGTAATGCACACCTCTCTCTAGTCGCTCTTACATGCAGATAAACTGATTTTTGCCTATTTTCAGTAGAAATTGCAAGTATTTCAGGCAGAGGCTTCCCCAATTCTCAGCCATGGAGGCTTCAGAGTCGGAGGTCCTTCACCAGCTTTCCACTTCAGTACCGGCAGCCGGGGCGGTAGACTGCTGCGAAGCATTAAACATAGCAGCCTTCGAGTTCATTCAAAAGCCCCAGAAAAGCCTTAGCCGGGTGAGTGTGATGAATAAACGGCCTAGCAGCTGCCCTGACAATGCAGAAGTCCATGAGAATGCCGGAGATTCCATGCCAGAGGAGGTAGAGCAAGTGCCGCCGTACACGGGACTCAAGAATCTCAAGCCCTGTCATCCAGTTAACGTTGCCTTTGAAAATATATCTTGTAAGTCCAGAGGCACGGGGGAGTAGAGAGTCCGATCGAGGAGGCGTAAACGCCCCGGGATCAATATGCACATTGCCTTGTAGAAATACAGATTCATTCAATAAAACCGCCCTTATGTTTCTTTTCGGAGATCTCCTTAGAATACGCCTATGAAGAAGAGTGCTGGTTCCCCTACCTTTTCAGTGTGTCCTCCCCAGAAAAATAGTGTAGCCTATGCCCTCTAGAACGTATCTGTAGCTCTTCTGAAACTTCAAGAACCGAATGAATGGATGATCCGGACAGCGCGCTTCGTTTGTTTTTCGACATGCTGATTGTTCTCTGCGACCTCTGAATATGTGCACACTCAAGGCACGGAAGGTTCAAGTCGGACGCCCTGTTGCTTGTCGCGTTAGTTGGCTGTAATAAAGCCATTAAGCGCAGACCTAAAGCGGCGCATGCATCTTGTGGTCGCAGGACATAGCTGATAGAGCACCTCAGAGTACTAGTGAAAAGAATAGGTGTATGCATTTCGCTTCGCTACCTACAGTACAAGTCAAAGTACCGAGAAGGCTCACTGGTGCCTTGGCGTTGCCAGTCGTTCAGCAGGTGGCCTCCACTTTCGCAGCCAGCCAAGCAAAGACGCTTCTTCATGGCATAAGCGGTGTCATTGAGCCCGGAGATATGGGTAGCGAATCCATGCGACTTGCTGCTTTGCTCGCCTGTTGTTTGCTGCTTTGCTCGCCGCCCTCCTCGCTCTTTAGGCTAACGTTTCGTGTGCCTTACTACTCGTGCAACGCTGAACGACACCTGCCGTACAGACAGAGCCAGCCAGATGCTTCCCAGCAATACGAGGCAACCGAATCAGGAAGAATTCCACATGCAAGAACACTGTGTCAACCGAAATCTCCTGCCGCGTTGCGTTCAGTGGCCCTCATGGGTGCGAGTGGTGCAGGCAAATCGACGCTCCTCAACGGTACTTCTCAGTGCAGCTGTGCTGTTTGTCACGTACAGTTGACTCTTGCGCTCTGTCCCTATCTGCTTGTCTGCACTTTTTCGCCTGCGTGTTGCTGTTATTGCCTGTATAGTTCTGAGCCGCCGCATCGTGACGAACACAGGGTCCGTGCTGTTCAACGGAAAAGCTCTTGGCGCGAATGCGGTGAAGCGACTTTGCTGCTACATTCAGCAGACAGCCATCTTTTACGGATTTATCACTGTGCAGGAGCACCTGGACTGCGTTGTGAGCTCGACATCATCCATTGGGGGACCAGCACCACCAAGCTTGTGGAGTACAGGCTTTTGTCTCCAGCCAGCTCGTCTTCTAGATGTATCCTAGGACGTGCTTACTTTTGACAAGCGCGCAGTCACACGACCTCCGCTAAATAGAGGAATGCGGTTTCTCCGAGTATGGAGATATGTGGCATTAGACGCGAGTGAAAGACCACTCGTATGTTGAGATAGGGGGCTAGCAAGCGTGTGAGAGCTGTGGTGGCCAGCAGCACTGCTAGATAGCGGGTAGCTGGTTTGCTAACATATGCAGAGAAAGCGCTCTAGGTTTTACGACTTCGTCTTGACGGACTCAGGCGCGTCTGCGAACCGGATTGAGGAAAGAGGCGAGGACGAGGCTCGTGGATTCTTTGATTGAATTGTACGGCCTCTCAAATGTGAAGAACTCTCGGATTGGCAACCTGCAGATGGCAGCCAAACGGTAGGCTTCCGGCGGCTGTCTCTTTGTAGCCAAAACTTGAAAGCAGCCAGTTGCGTCCGAGGCTGCAGTTAAGGGGTTTTTTACCCTCGCAACTGAGGGGCCTGCCCGTCGGCAGGTGCTGCTTTCGAAGCAGAGAATGATCCTAAGATGCTTCAGTTCGTTTTGTTTTCCAAAGAGGCATCAGTGGAGGAGAGAAGAAGCGGCTGAACATTGCAACGGAGATGATGACAAATCCGTCAGTCATCTTTGCCGACGAACCCACTACGGGACTTGACGCCTCCATAGCGGAAAATGTAATGCGCATCTTCCAGGTTCTTGCAAATCGAGGTATGCGCAGCTGCCCTTGTTTATGTTCCTGTGCTTCTCCTTCATCAGCCGTTTTCGAGTACCTTTTCTGGGCTTATTTCCTTCGTCTCGTGTGCCTGTTTCTCCTCATTCCCCATCAGACTGTTTCCCGTGTTTGCTCTTCGAAGTACTTGAATCCATCCCTTTGATCAACCTCTCTCTTCTTGCCTCGACGCGCTCAAAAACTCCTCGCTGCTGTTTCTTCTACCTCGATCCGTCTTGTTCGCCCCTCACGCTTCTGGTCTCTTGTGCTTCGCTTTTTGGCTTAGGACGGACCATCATTTGCACAATCCACCAGCCCAGCTCAACAATTTTTGATATGTTCTCCAAGGTGCTCCTCCTGAGCCAAGGGCGAATCGCCTTCTTTGGCGAAAGAGAAGCGACGTTGCTGTACTTTTCTCGACTGGGCCACTTCTGTCCCGCCTTTACAAGCGTTCCTGAATACCTGATAGAGCTACTCATGAAGCACCAGCTCATCGGAAATGCCCATAATCGTGATGACATGGGCACATGCTCACCTGAAATGTAAGGCGACAGAGCAGCAGCAGTCGTTCCTGCTGGGCATCCCTAACCTGCTCCACGTCTTCTTACGACACTGCGGTTGGTAGCTCTATCAAAATCACGTTTCTTTAGATGGACCGCGCGTGAACATGCATTGCAGATACGCTTGTCCCCAGCAATGCCACAAGCGAGTTTCACTTGGTTACCTTATTCCCAGCTGCGTGTGAGTGTCTGTGTGTCTTTCCACGACCACCCCACGAGCAAGAGCCAACAGCGCCTGAGCTTGAAAATGCCGGACTGCACAAACAAGTGAAACTATGGCATGGCGCAGAGGCGTTGATTTGACTGGTTTCCTGCGCAGGCTGGCTGCTCATTGGAACGCGACACGCGCAGACTTTCTCTGTGAATGGGTATGTCCAGACCATGCCCCTTAGAGACTCTTTGTTTTGGCAGGATGTAGCTTTCTTTTCCATCAGGGGCGTAGCTGGCTGCTCTCCGCTATGCGGCACAGCCTCTCCCTCTCACTTCTACTATGCTGTCTTTTGGCGCAGTCTCATGTTCGTCTTCTCTCTCCCTTGCCACATGTTTTCCAGTGCAGCTTCCCCCACTGCGCCAGCTTTCACGGCAATCTAAAGCCGAATAAAGCTCTTCTATGGCCCTTCGCTGCACTGTGGTACTCTTTTTGCGACTATGCAGCGTTGGAATGCTTTTCCACGACTCCATTTCTTGCTGTGTGTATTTGGTCGAGCAGCAACAAATTCGAGAAAAGCATATGGCCTCGACGAACAGCACGGCAGTTTGCCAAGACTTTCAGGTACATCTCACCGAGTGTGTTGCGTCACTTTCTGCGATCTCCCTCCGTGGCTGTCTCGTTCTCGTTGATAGATGTTGTTCGATTCATCGCTGTCGCCGTCCTTGCTGCCCCGCGCCTTGGATCATGCCACTCCCCCTGCACTTCTAGCCCTTGAGCTTTTCATTTACTAGCAAGGAGCTAATCTTCTGTGCGTAGTCGCGAGGCTCCCTCAGCATGGGAGAGGTGTCTCGAAGGGGCGTGGGCTTGGGCACACCACTGGCATTGGACTGCATATAATTCCGGCGAACCTGTAACTTATACACTCGCTTTATTATAGTGGATAGCAGACGCAAACGCGGACTTGCGATTTGTCCTACACGCATGAAGATGCATTTTTCTGCTGGACGCTTACTGCCGCTTCTGAGAATTCCGTTGCGCCTCTCTTGTTGCGAAGGCAGTTTAGCCATTCTCCCAAACAGCTCTTCCGTGAATGGCTTGGCTGCCCTTCCAGTGCTGCCATCTCTTTGGCTATTGTGTACCTAAATTCTGTGTGCAGGATGGAACTTCCTATGTTGATGGTGCGTGGCACTCTGCGGCATGCGCCGTCTTTTCAGCTGTTCTCCCATTGTAACCTTCGAGCTTTCATCCGCAATGTCGTTTCCTTAGCCGCCCTACGCAGATACTCCCAACGAGATTTAAGAGTTTTGCAGGCATGAGGATCGGCAGAAACCTAAATTTATGAACCAAAAGTGGCGCATTCTTGATGGAAGCAGCGTCATTAGGTGTTTTCCGATGCAAACAGACAGGTGGTTCTAGAACTAGACGGAATCCTTAGGGTTACTGCTAAGCACTCGAACCGTCTTCTCGCTTGTTGAGCGGCACTAAAGCATATATTTTAATTTTCTCAATGTGTACGGGAAAATGCAAAGGTGATCATTCAACGCCGGAGCTAGATGTGGATGCTGCAAAAGACGCAATTGGAAGATACCAGCCCAGCTGGTAAGAAAGGAACGGTATTCCTTTTGTTTATGAATGCATCGACAGCGCCTCTGTTACGGAGGCACCATAGGATTCCGCAACCGCAAGATGAAAGAAAGAGGAGAGCGAAAGAAATACAGACGTCTGCTTTCATGTCTTCCTTCTACATCAAGTACTCTCTGTCAAGTCCCTTCCTGCCGCCTGTGTTCTCTGCCCTTTCCCTTTCACGCAGGATCGAGGAATTGCTCACTTTGACTAGCCGCGCCTTCATCAGCAACAGACGGAATCCTCGCCTTTTTCAGGCACGCGTTGCGCAGACGTTCATTCTTGCGCTGCTTGTGGGGTTTATATTCCTTCGTCTTTCGAAACAAAATTACCTTTCCCGAAACGGAGCCACTATTTTTATTGTTCTTAATCAGGTCGGGCGAGCTGTCTAACTAGCTACAAGGCATATTTTCTTCTCAGTGAAAGCTTCAATTTTTATTTCCTTACCTCTTTTCGTCGATACGGTTCGCCTCTTAGAAGATCACGGCACGTATATGGAAAGGCTGTGAATGTGGGAATAGATACATCTACAACTTTGAGTATGTGCATATTGGCATTGGTCAGGAAGCACTGATATCAGCAGCTTTGAGCCCTTCCCCCAACTCGACCTCCTTTGGGTCCTCTCTCCTTTTCGATGTCATTGAGGTGTCTCCCCCTTCGCCTCCTGTGTTTAATGAATATTGCTTTTTAGGGCTGTTGCTCCTCCGTATTTCCATGTACAACACGAGAAATGACCAATGACCTGTTTTACCCTGTTGCGTTTAGAGCACCTTGGGGATGGTCTCCGTGCTGCAAACTTTCACTGTAGATAAAGTCCTGGCACTTCGGGAGTACCAGTCAGGACTCTATCGCCTATCTTCATACTATTGCGCCAAGATGATCGCAGACTTCTCTCTTCAGCTCTCTTTCCCCATATTGTTCACCACGTGAGTCAATTAGGATTTCGACTCATATCCATGTAAAGGACTATACATCTTCAAGCCTATTGCTTTTCGAAGTGAATTTTTTCGTGGGGGGTAGCAAATGAATTTGTTCATAAAACTGCGCAGTCAGTTCAGCTGCAACTGGACTCACATGCAATCCCTCAGCACGGGAAACGGGTACTACTTTTGTGCCCAATGTAAATTTAGGTTTGCTGGTTTTGCGGTTGATTAACTGGATCTGCCGAACTCATATCTGCAACCCCTCCAAGTCTGACTCTACGCTACACTGTTCGTCAACAGCGGCAGCTACTGAGGAAGATGTAGCTTGTTCCCATTGCTAGTGATCTGGTACTGGTCTGCACATTCAATTTTATGTTTTCAGGATAGCGTGGTTCATGATCGGCTTGAACGATGCGCTAGTTCGATGGCTGCTGGGGATGGCCTTCATCCTACTGACGACCAACAGCGCCATTTCCATTGGATATGTGATTTCGAGTGTTGCACCTACTGTCAGGCAGCACAAAGATCCTAACTTAAGAAAAGCGTAGTAACGGGAAAAGTAGCAGCTCACAGTCCTGCTAGATGGATGTTCGCTCTAGATCCTGTCGACTAGACAGAATGTTTTTGTAGCATATCCTTCTACATTTAAAATCTTACCTCATTGCTTTTTTTTGTTCTCCCATAAAATGTTGGCTTGCATCTGCTTAGCAAATGAAGGCAAAACCATTTCTTTTCAATCTAGACATCGGACTGCCGGCGCCCCTCTATTCTGACGATTATAGTGAATATTTGCCAGTTGTGTACGCCTGATATATTTTTTCGAGCTGCGCGCATTGCTTGTCTTCGCCGCCTGTTCCTTCCATGTCGAGTGCGCCCTCCATTTTGAAGTCCTTAATGTCTACTGGCTGCCAGCCCTCCCTTAATGCCTTGCGTCTGGCTGCTGCTGTGGTTTTCTCAGCTGCAGTTTGCATCCGCGGTAGTTCCAATCGTGTATATGCCATTGGTTCTCGCGTCGGGCTTCTTGGTGATACTGTCGAGCATGCCGGACTTTTGGATTTGGCTACAAGTATGACTCAGTTGCAGATGTCTGTTTGCATGCTTCCACACAAAAACTATAAGAAGAAAGAGCCAATACTAACCACGCTATGCTAAAGGGTGAGCTACACAAGTGCTTGACCACAAGCAGGAAAGGGGGCAGGCGCCTTTTTCCATAGAAGAGAGGAGTCCCACCTTGGCCGTCTGCAGAGTAGGAACAGAGAAGAGGCCTCTTTCAACCTCGTAAAAATGCGCGTAAAAAGGGTTGATGAACTTTCAAACACGGAGACAAGCGGATACATGTATAAAGGCGGAGACACCAAGTTGCCTATCATGAATTGGGGTTCGGATCCTTTTGCTTATGATGAGCCTCTAGCTTTATTTATGCGTGTTTTTGTGCTACAGTACCTTTCGCCTGCTCGTTGGGGATGGTCTGGCGTTATGCATGCCGTCTGGGGTACCTGATACGCACGCGCATGATGACGGCACATGGATGTGTTCTTATGGCCTATTTTTTATTCATCGTTTCCCTCCGCTCCGATATCTCCTTCTGGCCTCGGCTTTCTCTGGTCCTTGGAGATGGCGCAGTATCAGAGCATTTCTGTCCCTGTTCGGCTGTATGCCTAGTGATCCATTTTTACCTTTTGTGCAGTCCGAACAGACGCCCCCTATTTGTGTGCTTCTGTTTCGGGTATCCTCTTTCAGAAGGCGCCGTGCTAGATCCGTGTCCTGCGGACTCTTTTCCTCCTCAGTGCTACTCTGATGGAGACGAGGTATTGTTTTTCTAGGGGCTCTTTTAATGTTCATCTCTTGACCGCAGCTTTGCCTGCTCTTATCCCTCATGTGGAGCAGTTTCACCTGCCATAGTCTCTCCCCCCAACCGTATGACCGTGCCTGCGGTTCTTTTTTCTTCCGTTTCTCTTGAATAGTGCCTGCAGAAATGTGTTCCTTAAGCCCAAGGCGTGTGCTCCTTGCTTGTCATTTCTTCGACCCCCTGCCTCTCCTCAGGTGTTGCAGTACTATGCATTGGACAGAGACTCATTATGGTTCTCAGCCTTGATGATCCTCATACAAATCGTAGTGTATGCCCCTAGCCGACGAATTTCAAACAAACACTCTTTCCTCAGCGTCGCGCTCTTCCTATTTCACCGCGTGCTCCTGCATTCGACAAATCCCATATCTTTCTGCCATCCACCCCATGCCCACATGATTATCACTAATGTTCTGATTGAAAGACACTAAGGCTGCATAGGGAGTTCGTGAGCATCTTTCTGCAGGTATCGATTGTTGGGCCTCTGCTTCCTGTTGCTAATAAATCGTCGCAAGTAAAGCCACAGCGAAAAAAAAGTGAAGACGGGCAGTAAGAACCACGCATTTGACACTTGATAAAACGAATTTGTGCAAGACTTCTGTGTTTCGCACCACGAAGGTGGGATGTCCATGCTTCGCGCCGTCTGCCGTTTTCCACTTCTCGCTACCTCCTTGCCTGCTTGGCCTTCGTTTATTGTTCTGGTGCCACCCCGTTCCTTCTTCCCACTCGCTACATTGTGTCTTTACCTTATTTGGATGCGTGCGGAGCAATAGCAGAAATTGCCCCCATGAGTGCTAGATCGCCTGATTTTGCCAACGGCAGAAGCCTCTAATATTTTAGCTGCGTGTCATGCATGTATGTGATTAAGTATTCGTGCTGTTTTGATCTACGCACTGCATCATGCCCTTGATCCTCGCCTGCTCGCTCGCTGCATATCATCATTCCCTTTCCCACCGAGAGACCCATTGTACGGTAAAGAGCAACAGACAACTGGTTTCTTATAGATATGGCGCGCTTGAATCATAACTACAAAAAAATGTTCTTTTACGGGCTGCAATCTGCAGCAGAATCATCGGGGCCTCAGAGAGGAGCCAAAACAATGTATACACGGAGCGATGGCGGCCCCTTCTGCCCTCCATGAACAACATTTTTGAACTTGATTCCCTCAACTTATGTGAGAAATAATCTGAGAATCATGCCCCCCTTCAATTCTCGAATCTCTTACATTAAATCTTTTCTTTTTGATATGCTGCACATTAGGAAGCCGCATCTACCGTTTTCGCTTTTCGCTCTTACTCCTGTATGTGCTGGAGATGTACAGCGAACCACGGGGGCTGGCTTAACCTTATTTTCGTTGTGATTAGTGCAGCCGTTGCACTATGTGTTTGTTTTCATTTCTGTTCATGAGGAATCGCTTCAAGTCCTCAGCCTCTTCGTCTATGTCATCCTCTCTGTCGCTGTCTGCTTCCTCTCCTGCTTCTCCTTCAATGCTCCAAGCAACAGCCCGCGAGCGGAGGGAAGAAAGAAGAGAGTGCCGCTGCTCTTCGTCGAAAGCAGCAAATGCAGAGTGAGGCTTCTTCACGGTGGGGAGGAAACAGCCACTGGAAGCGCAAAAAAGCATCCCCTCAGATGTCGTCCTGCGGGAATAAGACGCGCACATAAGGGCTATTCAATTAAATAAGAGAGCACAGGGCAACAAAAAGGGCGCACAGTCCGATAAACGCATATGCACCTGAAACTCCGCCGGAATTAATAGTAAAGCAAACCTAGTCCCCTCTGGATTTGCGCTTCCTTATTATCTATCGATAGCTCCTTGATGCAGCTGTAAATTGAATAGCTTTTTATTTCGGCACTCGTGCCCCCTCTCTCCTTCCCAAGACCTCTGGCGCACTTCATGAGGTGCAGCCTGCCCACACCTAGGCGATTCAGTGAATAATCCACTCCTAATCCCAATTCTTTCCCCACCTTGAAGGCGCAACTTCGGTCCGTTTGACAGCAAAGAGGGGCTTTTCTGTCTCCGTCTTTCCTTTGTAGCTCATCAGCAGACTGTCCATCCTTGTTGCATGCTGATAGATACCTCTGCATCGCCAGGCGCAGAAACACCGCCAAGGGCTCTTGCTGCACGTTGCTCCACATCGACTGCTGCAATACCCGCCTTCCTGCCACTGAAGAGCTCTGCGGTGTCTCAACAGCAGCCTCTTTGCTGCAGCACCCGCGGCGGCACCAGCTCTGGCACTCTTCCTCCGTCCCATCGATACTAGTTCTGCTGCAGAGCAGCAGCTTGAACCCCCTTCCCCCGAAGCAACCAAAGCTTCAGGGGTCAAAGGCCGCTGTCGCTGCACCAGCGGCATGAGCAGGCGCTGCTGCTGCATACTGTAATTGCCTTCCAGTTTGTGCAGAGCAGCGACCAGCAGGGCTCGCCCCCCATTCCTCCAGTCAATTGGATAGCGCGGTACGAGATTAGATGGAACCTATTGGAGCAAATAAGAATTCGGCACAGAAAAAGACTAGGAGGAAGGTGGAAGGGAGCCATTAAGCTGCACAGGCTTAAAACCTCGAGCAGATGCACGAGTGCGATTAGGTTGATGCGCCCGAAAAAACACACTTCAGAAGAAAAATCGACCGAAAAACACAAGCAGCAGCAACAACGTGAGATCTGACTTTCGTAGTGCGGAAAACGGGGTCATAGAGGGCCTTTTTGTGTTGATGGTTGCCTGATAGGAACGAACACGCACGAATTCGCACGGGTGCAACAATAAATCGCCAAGCAACGAATTTTCCACAGTCACTCATAACCGCAAATCTACCCCAAAACAAAGAGGCACCACACCTCGGAAGCCAATTGGGCGGCGACCAGCGGGGGCAGGGAGGGGAGGAGCCTTGATTATTTTTAGAGGCGCGTTGGCAGACATCTTCTAATGACGGCTGAAACTCCGGCAGCCACTGCTCGAACTTCGGGCCACGTTGAGATAGGAAGCTTCTGTTTGAGGCGGGCAAAAGCGAGGTTGATTTGCGCATGAAGTTACTGCGTGGCACTTTGTACAGGCAACCAGGCGAAGGCACAAACAACAACGGAGCTTTGTAATGGCCTACACAAACGTGAAGAGACGATTTGAAGGTCAGGAATCCGAGGAATAATAAGCCAAAGATTTTCTTCACGTGTCCGAAAAATGCACTACCATATCATGTAGAGCATTCTTGGCTGCAAGAGGAACGCCAGAACTCGAAAAGAGAAATCGACGGTTGTACAAAAGAAATGAAACATAAGGCATTGGCGCAATGGTGTGGTAATGCTGGAAAGAAAAAAATATTTAACGCACTCAATTGAAGTGTTTGGCAGCTCACACAATAAATTTCCATCTTTTGTAGCAATTCTGTGTCACTCCCGTTGGGGCTGCCGCTTGCATGCAGGTGGTCCCTTGCTGGCCTTATTGTCGTTATGTCATTTTTTCACAAGGATAAGCAAATGTGAACTCATACTACTGGCATGCAGGCATGCTGTTCCCTGGCATTATAACACGAAGCCAGAGATCACACTAAAGCGCTCCTTACGCATTCATAGTGCAGGTCAGAATCTTTTGTAAATTCCTTCAAAAGAATGACAGCAGCAAATTAGGGCGAACTTTTTGCTAGTAACTGCTTCTTTGCAGGGACACCTCTTTTCGCTCTTCGTGACACCATGAGAAAAGTCTTGTATTACCTGCAAGGCGTTTGCTATGAAGCTGAAACGTACATCATGAACAAAGGGCAACATGACAGTATTAGCCATAAAAGGTAGTTCTGGCCACATCCTTCCTTGGCATTTCCAATGTAATTTTGGCTGTTCCGCTTCACAGGAGCTTTATTCATGCCCCTCCCATCCCACGTAAAGTGGGCAGCAAACAACACCGAGTAACCTAGCAGTCGTCAATTTTTGCTCGAGTCGATCTGTCCCATGTCCCCTTTTGGAAGCCTACCCTTGCTAAATTCAGTGGCCTTTTTGTCTCCCTGTGTCCGCCGTGGCCCCTATCTTCTCCGTTACACCTTTAAATCAAACGGCTTGATCGACCCTCCTACACCCCAAAATTAGTACTTTTATTTACGTATGCCTCCCGATCTCCCACCTCGTACCAGGTTCTCCAAAGTGCCTGCACACTACTCGCGGTGTCTGTACACTCCCCCAGGAATTTTCTTCCTAAAGCGATAGATGACACCAAACGGCAAACGCAACATCCACCGCAGGCCCCCTGGTGTGGTCCCCTGACGGTACTTCGAGAGCTCGCAACCGTGTGTGCCCCTAGACGCACCCCGTGAGGGCCCTTGTGTGGGGTTGCATCGTTGTGTCTCCACGGGGGCCTCTGGTAGGGTTTCACGAGGGCGGGGCGCCTACTTACACAGACTGGGGTGAAAGATCTCCGGACAATTTGGCAGGAGTCATGGTGTGCAAAGGGAAAGAAACATAAAAATCTGGCGGCCGTTTAATAGAGGAACTGCACCTCTATCAGATTCCCCAAAAGCAAGAAACAAAAGAGTACAATCGAAAGGAATACAAACAAGAACACGACAGCGAACAAGAAGAGTACGAGAAGACCAACACTAATGAACAAAGAAATGGCGCTGCTGACTCAGCGCAAATAGACGTGTATGGTTCCCTCTTTTCATTTTATGGTATAAAGGGCAGCATGTTTTGATTGTTGATAACGACAGCAACAGTCACAAACCGGAACCTCCGCATACACTACAATCGACAGCTAGGCGAATAAGCCATTTATATGCCTCGATATAATACAGAACACATAGTAACAGCGAGAAGGAGATGAGGGGGAAATAGGAAAAGGATGAAATACCGCCGAACAAAGGGAGACGCTGAACACAGAGACCTCCTGCTGCTGCATTTGGCCCTGTGGGACGTCACAAGATCCCCGAGGGTCCAGAAAGCGGCCCGTATAGAGGCCTCCTTTCCACAGTAAAGGCGAGTGGGAGCCTTTCTGGAATTTTGCTGCCTCGGTTGTCAGCACACCTGAGGCATTATTGTTGCCGCGTGGCAACAGAGGCGCTGTTCATATTGCCTCTCGCATCAGCAGTTGGATACTGCTTACGCACTTGCTGTGCTTGTTGGCTCCGTGAGCCCTGCTGCTTTTGATGTGGGGCGGCAGGGGCAGCGGACACCATGTCTCGGCCATAGGCAAACGCCTTGCTCTTGACTGTCTCTTGTGTCTCATATGAAATCTCTTGGTGCTGATATCCGTAGTGTGGTGGTTGCGAAGGCGAACTACCGCCACTCGCATTAGGGTCGTTCCGCCCATCCGCTTCAAGCCGTTTCCCTCCTTTTTGCTCCAAGGGGCTTGGACCTTGTGCCGTTGGCTGCCTGGCCTGCCCGTCTTGCATTTCGAATTCCTTCGCCTCCTCTGCTGCCTGATTTGTTTCGGCCTTCATCACTTCAGAAGCATCAGCAGCAGTAAGTGCTACTGAGCGCTCCGTTTGTGATGCCACAGCAAGATCAGCTACAGCCGCCATCGTATCCTCATATTCGGAGTACGTTGACAAGCTTTCTCCTCTAGAATTCTTGTTGGATACTCTTTCTCTGCCTAGACTCTTGGCTGAGTTCGCTGCGGATGCAAGAACCGAAGCTGCAGAAGTGGCGACGATTGGGGCGAGAGCGGGAGTAGCGACCGCAAACCCATCAGCCGTCGTAACAGCGGCAACACGGCTATCTGCTAGGTCCTGAATGCCAGCAATGTGGAAGTCTTCCTGGGCTGTGAGCCCCCAAGAAAAATTCTCCCAGAAGAAAGAGAATCCTACAAGAAGCCGGTCCAGCGCTGCTATTGCTAGCGACAACGAGTGTCGAAAGGAGAAGCACGTGATCTGAGGCATGATAAGCCACATAAGCAGGCTAATAGTCTGTTTACCTCATTACATGGCATGTACGTAATGGTAGCACACGGAGACCTTTAATGAACTCCCTAGAAGTGACAATTCAAATGTAGCAGCAAATAGCGACAAGCCCTACGAACATGAATGAAAGGTACCAACATGAGCCAAAAAAGTGTTATTTCAGCACGCCACGACACCAAAAGAGAGGGGGGTTATCCCACGGATTATGTTATGAGGCTCTCGCGTCTTCAGGGGATAAGGGCAAAGACTTACGCCGATCACGAGCTTGAGGATCCCGGTTCGTCTTAACAAGACGAATGCGCAGCACCCCAAGAAGAAGAGGAACGCGAGCCAAAGAAGCTCTGAATCAGACGCAGTCCTGCAAAGCAGATGAACGAAACAACACAGCTTTACGATAAGAAATCTTCGTTGTATTCGTGCTACCGCTTTTCAGCTCTGCAAATGGTGGAGGCGATGATGCTTAGCTACGTCCATCGGGCCAGCTAGGGGTTAGCGCGAATGCCTATTTCTCAAAGCTAAGGAAGGATAAAGAGAGGAAGAAGCCCATGCAGGCCAAACGCCTCGGCGCAGCCCCTCTCCTAGTGGCGGAAAATAAATCAAAACAAGCATCAACAAGCAAATGGCAATAAGAACCTAGCAAATAGATGTCGAAATACACAGAGCAAAAAAAAGGCAGAACAGCAAACAAAGAAATGTGTCGTCGCCTGCGACACCGCAGTACAAGAAAAAGCAAAGAGATGGGGCGGCCCTGCAATGCGTTGAGTCGGTCATGCCCATGTGCCTTAATAAACCGAAAACACGAAATCGACAGATGAGCATCTGCAATCCTGTATGACATTTTATCCTTCGAGTAGTTTTTATTAGCCGATCCGCCCAAAGACAGCAAAACTAGGACCACTGTTGCATTCCTTTGCAAGCACTCATTGCTCTTCTTAGCAGTACAGCATCAAAGTGAAGCCGGACCGCATGCACTTTAACTACAAGACTGAACTTGGACAACTCGGCAAGAATGACCGACTCGAGCGCTCATGGAGGTTGAAGAAAAAGCAACCGTCCATGAGCACGAAATATGTGGGGCGTGGAGTTGCCCAGTGGTACAACAATGAGTAGAAAAGACCATGCGGAAGCGCCCAAACAAGCGGATTTTAGCATACAAAAAATGAGCTGCACATTGCTGCTGCTTCTGGTGGAATGGGCGGCACATAAAGAAGGGGAACACACAATGGTGGACTCAGAAGGGGCAGAAAGAAGAACACGCGCCTTCTGCCTCTTCCTCCGACTCGATATAAGCGAACAAGAGGCGAAAGCATCGGCAGCCAAGGTGCAGAAGATGCCGTGGGCTGCCCGTTCACCGCGGTACCACGCAGAGAATATGAAGAGTAACAGCAGTTCGAAGAAAGATCAAATAAGGATGAGCGCGAAGGAACAATGCAAGAAATAGGTATGAAACAAGACCCAAGCTGCAAGGGATCCCGCTCCTCCGCCTCCATTGCTAGAAAGCTGCGGGTTTAAGCTTTGGCAATGGGCCGGGTCGTGTGGAGCCCTCAAGCCTGTATTGCATGCAGGTGCGCAGGCATCTCGTATTGTGCGCCTCCATGCCTTCCGGTTGCCTCACTCCCCTTCCCCCCATTCTTTGAGTCCCTCGGTCTTTCCCTCTGCTCTTGCTTTCGTTTGCTTCCGCGAAAATGTTGCTTGGGGAAAGATGCCCTTCAACTTCCCCCCCCTGCCCCCCCGCCCATTCCCTGAACCCTTAAGTACCTCTCTTTCAGAGCCCGCAGCATATTTCTCGCGCTCGAAAGCCGCGCCCCAAACACTGCAGCACCATCATCACCAGCAACGCCGATCCGTCAGCCACCAATAGAGCCCCATATCTCCCCTACCTCATCATCGCAAATACGGTTGTAGTAGGACACATATCTCGAACAACAACAGCTGCTTCCGCCACAAGAGCGAATGCCCCCTAGCTCAACCGCTGCAACCCTCCAACGGGCCCCGAAAAATCCACGTGCTCTGAGTTATGGAGATATCCGACGGCCACAGCAGCACAGAACCCTCGGAACCGCTTGCCCTCTTCTCCCTCCCTCCCTCCCTCCGTTCGACTCCCCTTTCCCCTTCCTTTGTTTTCGTGCGCATCCCCTCCATCGCCGTTCTCGCACCACAGCAGTCAACGGCGGAGTGAATATACACCTCACAAGAACTATTTTCAGTTAGGTACACCCATAAACTTTTTATTTCTCCTGATCCAAAGACCTCCACCAAAATATCGCAAGGACTACATCACTCATGAGGTACATAACAGATTCAACTACACCGACTGCACGCTATGGGGCTGCATACACTTCCCAGCAACAAAGCCCTAGCAAAACGCATTCTCTTGTAAATCTCAGGATCCAGGCATTCACACCACAGCGGGCCCCTCAGGCTCCCACGACACTCCCAGAGGCCCATTTGGGGCCCCTCTTGGACCTGAGGGGGCCCCAACACGGATATGCAGCTCAGCACGAACAGCCATTGGCAATCCTGCCTATCGGGCGCAGCAAGCACCACGAAAATGGCTTCAAGACTCGGTGTGCCTGAAGCTATTTTCAGATAAATACGTTGGGCTTGCGTACTACTGTACAGGGTGTGGTGTATTGCGTGCTTCATGACTGACCATTGTATGTTGCCTCTGTTTGCTCGAGGGCCGTCGACGACTGCTGAAGCTGTTGTTGCGTTGCTTGCATACGTTGCACTTCTTTCACCATCACTTGGCGGGTCTCTTGGAGCAACTGCTGTTGTTGCTGTTGCTGCTGCTGCTGCTTGTGTGCACCACTGCCGGCGTTAGGCTCCTGCGTCATGCTCTGCTGCTCCCCTGCTGTTGGCTTAGCTCTCACCGGCTCTGCCCGGGGGCCTCCTGCCCTCAGGGGGCCCCCTGTAGGCCCTTCACGAACAACGCCAGTCCCCGTTGCCAGCTGAGCGCTGCGACGTCGCATCGACACCCGTTGCCTGTACACTCGACCCCTAACCCCAGGCGCGTTGAACTCCCGCGCGGCATGGCATGTTCAGCCTCGTGAAGGCGAAAGCAGGAAGCCCACCGCATTATACAAGGGTGGCTGCTTAGTTTTCAAGGCGAAACGTACCGTTCTTGGACGGAGCAAACATAGTTGGCCATCCTCATGGTATGGAAGTGGCGTTCCGTGTTTTGCCACCAGGCGGCAAACTGGGACTTGTATCTGACACACACAGGGAGCAGCATGAGGCTGACAGGGAGAAAGGAATGAGAATTGAAGAAGGGCTGCGGCGGCCGAGCAGCTTCCCGAAGGGAGAGTGATCCGTGCGCAAACGAACATTCAAAAAGCGTGAAAGCCCTTACAGGCAAGTCGAAGCGCACAGACAGACACCGCAGAGCAGGAGGGGGTGCCCTGTGAGGCATGCGCAGGACGCTTCTCCCTCCCTCCCGCCAGCACGCACTTTCGCCTATCTTTTTGAATAGGACCGACACAGTGTATCCAGAAGTGCGCAACACATGTGAATATATATATGTATATATGTATATGCCGTGATTCTAGCTGGAAGAAGGATATGGAAAGCGAGGCCATCAGCCTGTTGACCGCCCCGTAGCGTGGGTACAAAACAGCATAAAAATAGCGGGAAGGATGCATTGCTTTCGCTTTGTGTTTGTAATATTGTGTCTAGCGGACCTTCCAAGAAGTACTGCACTATCTCAGCTTGTTTGAAACCACACACAAAAAAGTCTACACCCTGTGCCACGTACTTTTGCAGACGTTGCTGATGCTGCTTGAGCAGCCCTTCGAGTTCGTGCAGCTGCCTCGGGCTGAAGCCTTCTCTCTGTCGCGGCCCTTCAGGAGACTGTGCTGCGCAGCAGCAGGAGGCGAAAGTGAAAGACAAAGCCTTTTCTACTAACTGAGTCAGTCCCTTCGTCAGCTGCCCGTAACGACTGATCCGGCGAGCGACGCGGCTGCGAAACTGAAAATCCACACAGGCATGCACACATACACACACAGATATATGCTCGCCTACCCCTAGCCACCACTTACTTAACATGGAGCTAGTTGTGCTCCCCAGGAACAAAGGCTTATACGGAAGTGACAAAGGGGGGGAGGACAGCACTCCAAACCTTAGAGCCTAAAATATTCCTTGGCCCCAACTCAGAAGCCACGTCTTCACGGATCCCACACACCCGATCGTTATCGCCTACCTGCACCAGTTGCAGATGCTCAGTTACTTCTGTATTAGGAGCGCCCTGGAAGAGAGACGACAAGGAAGCGTCCAGCGCAGACAGGTCCTCCACTGTCAACTGCAACTGCTGGAGCAACTCTTTCATGGACAAGTGAGCAAGAGGCTCCTCCTGCAGAGACAAATCCGCAGTAGCAGGTGTAGCGGAGGAGGCTCACGTGTTGTGCAGACATCCACAAAACACCAACGACCAATTGAGTACGGGAGGGTGGCCAGGGCGGGCGAAACATTTGATTGTCGCAAGACAGTCCGCCTCCGGACAGGCATTATCATGGCGCATCTTCACAGAAGCATACGGATGCTATGCTACTGCTATACCCCTCCGTGTCAGTGTTTTATTGCCTTACCTCCGTCGTTGGCTGCTGGTTGATGCTCTGATGCTGCAAGGGGGCCGCCGCTGTTCTTCGCGTCTGCTTTATAACAGCTGCATGGTTTGCTACCTGACTTGCCGCGACTGGCGCGGGGAAAGCGGGGGGTGCCATTGGGGGAGGGAAGGTGATATGTACGACGGGGAAGAAGAATTCGAATGGAAAGGGAAGAAGGAAAACAGATCCCCCACTACAGCGCAGACTTAGGCAGGGTCATCCCGATACACGGAGAGAATTGGTGTTGCAGCCTTATTCAGAAGACATGGGAAAAGTAGGAAGACAACTGGAGACTGCAGTCCTCGGTTGTCTGCTTGCCTAGGTTGATGTTGTAAGGTGCTGGACGGGGAGGGGTCCTCCTTGAGACACTTATGTTGCCTTTGCTATAGTTATCGATAATGCTGCCTTCGCGATTTTCCCCGTTTCTAACGCTATTTTGGCTGCTCTTGCTGCTCTATTTGATACTTCTACGTTTGCGCGCTGCAGCTTGTCTTGCTGTCTGTTGTTTGTCGGCTGTCGTATACCTTAACTTACAGATAATATAGCATCTCCTTCAACACCACAAAGGAGACGACAGAAATAGAAAGCAAAGAGGCAAAGGGAGTAAAGGGGAAGATGTGTGCAGTTGTACCGCCGATACCGTGTCCCCAGGGGCTGTTGTCAGTCAGGCAACCGTCATCCCGCGGGTGATGGACGAGTCCATTCCACTTTTCCATGAGAAATAGAAATATATTTCTTAAGGAACTAATAATGAGTCATAAAGTTCATTTTAAATTGTATGTAAGAAGAGGATAGAACCAAGGAATAAACGGCCGTTTGGGACGCAGTTGCATGGCATCCCGTAACTGCTCTTAACTATTCAGATAGCGAAACACGAATCCAATCATTGGCTCCTTCTACTCGTTACCATTCCTCTGTCTCCCTCTGTCAGGATAAATGCTGTCGTTATTTGTTTTTACTAGCTAGAGGGCAAGCATCATTTGTTCCACAGCTTGCACAAAAGAACCACACACACGCTGCGGGAGACAAAAGGCGGGGAGACGAGAAAGAAGCAGACACATTGGGGGGAATTACCGTGCCACACCGTATGGTATGGATCAGAGCGTGAAATAAGCTCTAGTCCTTTTACCGTAAGACTATTCTGTGCGCAGGATTCACACTGGCAAACAGTGCTCGGAGCTTCACGCCGTATGAAACTTGGGGGATGAGCAAACCATTCGTGCAATGATATGTGCCTTTCAAATTGTATGATGCGCGGCTATGGACATGGTGCATGGCAAAGAGTAGGATATTAATGAAGCTATGCTTGTAGCATCTGTACTTCGGAGCATGCGCTGCAACAGTCAACGTGAGTAGGACAGAGGGTGTAGCTAGCCACAGAGCGTCTTTCGTTCATTCAGAGCAATGGTGTAAATGAGATTATTGAGTGGTCTCTACGAAGAAACGAGAAGTCAAAGGTAAGAGGAATTAAATGACACCGTGCTTTGGCTGTCTGTCGGGTATAGAGTCTCCTTACGGAGAGCCACCTGCTCAGAATTGTCGTGTACAGGGTTTTCCGTGTCTAGGCTCGCACCCGACAGAGTTGAGAGGGCAGTCAATGCTGCACATACGGGAATTTTTATATGCAATTTGTCATAAGAGCACCCCCAAGGAGACACCAAACTCCAGACTGAACACTAACTAGACAGAAAGTTATTGAGTATCTCCCGGGAGAGGATCCTCCTCCCTCTCCCCGCCTCCCTCAGCGCTCCCACTATGAGAGGAGAGACAGAGCTAGCTTGCGTGTAGCTGCACCACCTAAGTAAACGGGGCAATGTACACACACATAACATCGCGTCTTTTTGTATCAAGCCAAAAGTACTTTGCAATAAACAAGGCATACGAAAAGCCAAACTAGTAAGTCAATTCTTTTAAAATCCTGAGTTGCACTCAGGAAGTATAATGGAAGATGTCGAAATGTAGCTGTGCCCGACGCTTCAACCCTCGCATTTCAGAGAAGACATCCTTGAGTTCTGTAACTATCGGTCTTGATCTACTACGGGTGGAATAAAAAGGAATTCTAACCCCTGTTAGTACCCCTCAGGCAAGGAGAGAAGCGAGAAACAGTCAACTAAGAAAAGCATGGTCCACATTAGACGGCTTTAAAAATCTTAGGGGAAAATGGCATGCAGACTAGCCAATAACAAAGGAGGAGCTAAGCCAACACGACCGCAGAACTTCGATGACACACTATCGTAAAGGACTGAAATATGCAGGCTGGCTACTGCAGGACAAAAACCGGCAGGTGAACTGGCACAAGGGAGTTAAAACGCGCCGTAGTTCAGCAGTGCCTCCGCGCCTACTAGAAAATATCTGCATGTTAGTGCAGCCAATGCATGCAGCATAGTAGGCTTGCAGAACCCCGAAGAGACATGCGCAGGAATGTGGAGAGAGTTTAGCTGGGGGTGAGGCCACAGAAATCTGTGTTAAGAGAAAATTTTGACAATCATAACCCAGAACTTCTAAAGCAATAGCCTTGGACGAAGGCTGCTCATTCAGGCAGAACTTGCACTGGAAAAGAACACTTACCCAAAGACTACAGGAAATAACGTCAATGGCTAGTAGTTTTGTATAACACAGTCACAAATTTTCCAGCGAGCAACGCATCCCGCGCGTGCTACTCCGTCAAAGTTGGCATTCCCCATTCCATTCTACCAAAGCTTCCTGTCTAGCGTGTCCGCGGCCCTTGACGGTCCTCGAATCTAGCATATCTACATCTACCAGTGGGCACACGGCTCACTTGCCTCCAGCGCAAACTCCGCAATAATTCAAGGAGTTTGCAAACTTCCTTAAGAAGTCAATCTTGAGTGTTCTATGGATCTTTCAACTTTCAAACAAACCAGTAGAGTGCGGAAAGAGATAAATTCGTGAGAGTAGCGCGTAGGTTCTAAGCCTTCTGGCGTGAAGCTACGTAGTCGGGTCATATTTTGGTGTACGTCGTGTAGCCTGCCGATTCCCCAGCACCAACTGTCTATACTCGGAACAATCAACCCACTTCCTACCATCATGACTACGTGTGTGTCTCTCTACACCTTCGCACACACATTAGATTGCAACAGTTAGCTGTCCTCTGAATGTTTCCACTGCTTGGTAAGGCTGCTGACCGTAGGCCACCAGGTCCAGGCAGGGACCGCAGAGTTGTTCCTCACTGTATACCAAGGATGCGGAGGAGCAACGGGGAGACGCGTTTACCCCCATATTAAAAACCCTGTCAGCAAATGGAAGATACCCAAGCCAACCAAACGAATCTCTGGAGCCTAGACGCCCACACACTTCACAACAGTGCGGTTGATGCGTTCTTTGCACCCAGCTGTCTTGGGGAGGTTCGCAGTGGTCATATGATTGTCAATCTGTTGGCAGGTCGACAAGGCACGCCAGAACGCATTGAAGAACTTTAGATTACTATCTGTGATGATACTACTGGGAAATCCATGGGGGTTCTGGCCAGAATTTAGGATTAGTTGAACTGCTATAAAGCTAGGGCAGGGGATGAAATGGGCACATTAGCTGAGTTTGGACGACGAAGCAGATCTTATCCTGACCCTTGACCTCTGACAAACCAAAAAAGAGGTTTGTCGTCAAGTGGCTTTCTAGGCTTTCGGGAACACGAACAACTTGCGAAAATCCGGTTTTAGAAGCATTGCGTGGTTTGGGCTGTTAAAAATTTTGGCGTGGGTGTACATATCCCTCTGCCGCAGAACGCAACCCAGGCAACCAGGACCGTGAGAGCTGATCTGCAGCATTGTTATTTTCATTGTGGCCAAAATGAGCATGATGTCTGGCTCTGAAAAACCTGGCGCTGCGAAGCAAACTCGAAATGGGCAGGCGACAGAGTCCACGCCTTATTTTGAACATCAGTAGGCCATCTTTGACATGAGAGTGCCCTGCTGCCATCTTAGAAAGTTATAGCAGATGCACGGGAGTTGGAAGCATAAGATGACTCTACTTTTGATAAAACCGGCGAATTATCCCATACAATGGTCAGCGTGGCGCATCTTTAGCGAACCGTTGGGACGTAGCGAGAATGCATTGGTGACCATGTTGGTAATGCCCTAAACATACTAGATTGTGAATTCACACAGTAGGAGGCTCCCCTTCCAGCAAACAACTGGAATTACAAAAATCCTGGAAACTCCTACCAAAGTCCTTGAATTCTGATGACCAGCGTCGACATAAAAAGACGTTTATGCAAAGAAAACCGGCAATTTTTTCACTTCCCCCTTCACTACATAGGGTTGCTGTTCCCTTACTAAGTGCAGCCGCTCGGTTTCGGTGAAGCGATAGGAATACCGAGCAATAGCCTTATGTACTGGAAAATCTGTAACCTGCTGAGACAGAGAAGCGCTCTCATCGCCACGCTATCAGCATTGCTTGTTAAAAAAATATGATGCCCATGCTCGGGCAGGGCAAGTACCGCACAGTTTCGAAGGCGGCTGATAAGCGGCCCTGTTGCGGTATCTGCTTCCCATGTCCTGGGCACACACAGTTTCACCAGGTAGAGCAGTCAAAATAGCAGCGATCTAAGCGAATCTAGGGAATGAAAACTCGTCAATTAGCGGCAAACTCATAGCTTTTGGTAACGTCCTTGCGGGTGCGCAGAGGTAATGGCTTTACATGGATTGCTTCCGTTTGAACCATATCTGGCTCAATTCCTGCAGCCAAGACAGAGAATCCTCAATGTACATTTCATCTCATAGAAAACAAACACATCCGTGCCTTTGCGCGGCACCACTTTTCTCACAACAGTTGAAGCGCACGCTCTGGGTGTTGTAGGCTCTGTGGAACGTTTTTGGCTCAATACAAAGACGTCGTCCACGCAGGCCGCCATCCAACATTCTTTGCAATGTACATGCATAGCTCGAGCATCTGGACGTTGCAGCTCGACTGGGGCGCTAACAAGCACAAACGGCACAGAGGTATACTCGAGTTTGCTAATGCGACTGTGGGAGGCCGATTTGTGCGTGCCACCCGGGTGAATGTGGATTTGTATGAATGTGTCTATGATGAAAAATGTCCAGTAGGCTGTCATGCTGTGGAGTTTGCTAGGCGCTTCGACAAGATGAGCCACAGGGAAATTCTACTTTGCAATGATCTTGTCCAGGGGCTTCAATGTACCACGCATGCTCTACATTCCGTCCTTTTCTGTGCCAGCGCCGGTGTCCGCCCAAAGGTTCTGGCTGATTCCTAGAGTTTGCTCTTTTTCAACAAAATATTTACCTGCCGCGTAATATGCTCGTGACTCTGTGGTGGTAGAAAGCAAGGTACTTCACCACCCGGCTGACGAAATCTTTGAGTAGTTGCCCTTCCTTAGCTCTCATTGCCTGGCTGGTCCATCGAGGCATACATGAACACATTCTGCACTAGCAGCTTGCTTCTTTGTACAAACCCTATAGCTAATATATGCGCATCGGCTTGTAGGCTGCCCTTTGCATCCTAATGGGCTTTGATCCACCGTCAACTGCCATCGCGGAGGGGCTCTTCTCTCTCCGGCCGTTCTTGAAGGAGATCAAATTATAGAATTATTAGATTCTCGACTGCCACCAGACAGTCAGTGTAGCGAAGTGGACTTACCGGTGCATCTACAGGTAGTGGATGAGCGGGGGAAAGCTGCTTTCAACCATGCGATAATACCAACTGTAATGGTTCAGGTAAGGTCCACGAAGCAGGGCATAGAACTACTTGCAGGCTTTCACAAGATACTTGAATATTTTGCAAGAAAAGCTCTTTGTCCCCTGCGTATGCCACGTAAAGTTCCCGAAAGGAGGGAAGCCGGAGCGCTAGGGTTATCGTACCCTCTATGCACACCCACCATTCAAAGCTAGCTTCACGTAGCATCTGAAGCATAAGCAGACAACATTTCATCTAATTGTATTGTGCTTGTGCTACTTCGCAAGAAACACGATGCAGTATAACCAAAACAATCAGCCAGCTGTTTACTGATTCTTATGTAAAACAGCTGGTGTAGTAGAAAGTGCCTCGGTGTAGCTAATCCCGCTACAAAACGCAGCCACGACGACTCCGCAGCCTTGTTAGCTCGCTGCCTTGCTGATCTTAGGCTGTCGGGTGTGTTTCGCTCCATCGCACTGCTCTTTACGTTTGAGGTGCATTTTGTTTTGCTCACTGGCTCTTACTTTCGCTTTTCTGCCTGCCTAGGGACTGGCAATAAGGCTGGACTTTGCTGTTCTGCACGAAGTTGTCCTCATTGTACAGATATAGTAGATACAGACAACGAGGGCCTCTATTTCAAAATAGTGGGGGAGGGGGGGAGGCTATGGTGGGCTGAGCAACGTTTCGGCGCATTGTACTATGCTGGCTATGTATACCAAAAAGTTAAAAAGGTCGACTACTTGATTTGACCCTATCTTTTTTTTGATTGTTTGCAAGGTAGAGCTAGCACGATAAAATAAGGCAAACCGTGGTGTGCTTGTGCGCTACATGCTACGTGGGCCTAGCTGTGAATGCTCAGAGCGCTCAGAGGGTGCAGTTGGGCGAACTATAATGACCCCCTCCGCTCACGGCAGGATCCCTCAGAGGCGCAATAAGGGTAAAAAGGAAACCTTTTTTGAAATTTAAGATAAATTTATACGTGGCATGTAACGAATCAAGAGTTATGTGTGTCTGTGCGGACAAAAAGAGAGACAACAGGAACGTTTCGGCTAGAGTTACAGATCCCCAATATTGCTGGTTAGTGCTGCTATTCAAATGCGGGAGCATAGGTTGACTTACAGGCCACGAGACACACTCAAGAGATTCAGGATAACAGTCACTTGCGTGATGGGCACTAGGTTAGGGTCAACGTGCAATATTCTTAGGTTGTGCTTCTAAGTCCGCATTTACAAAAGGGCTGGACTAGCAGTGCTTGTACTAATGGCTAATCGTCTCAGGGTAGACTCAGGCTACATAATTCCTTTATCGTTTTGTTTGATTCGACAAGTAAAAGCCGCGTTGTTGCGCGTGAATAGACCTAACGGAGAGGAAGACTGAAAGGTGGGGGCACGCACAAAGGACTAGTGCTGGTGTCCACTGGAAGCTAAAACAATGACCTGTTTAAAGCTACTGAATGGCCTTGGGATATATTTTAGTTTTATCGACAAAACATTACCCTTTCGTGAGAGGCACTGAAGAGACCCCTGTCTATTTGTATCTACAAGCAGTCCGTCGCGCAAGACAAGAATAGGAGGGCAGCAAATTTTTTCTGTCCTAAGGGTAAATACCTCGCTTTGCAAACATATATTGCGCGTTAGAGAAAGCAGAAAATTCATATGCAAAAATGGAAAATGCTGCCTTAATAGTTGCCGAATCGTCAGACAGAGGGCCCTCGGTTCCGAGGATCCCAAGGCGGCAGGCGGAGACCGAGAACCCAGGAGGCATAGGAGGAAAAGCGGCATAACTGACGGAGAAACATCCCTCTTATTAAATTCTAGTGAGGCTTTCAAAAGGATCCTTGTAGGAAAAGGCGGGCAAGTCGGCTTTACTTTTTTCTTCACTGCACCAGCGGCAGCTGCACCGCAGCAGCTAATCCTCAACCCATCTGGTACCGCTTTCCTGCATTGCATGATACCGAACGGTCATCGTGAAACTTGGCTTCATGATCTTCAGGAACCTGACTTGTGTGTTACCGCGCTAAGCTGAGGCCTACGGAGAAACCTTTGCAGAGTCGACGGGCAGCAGCCAGTGCCCTCCACCAGCACATACGAGAAGCATCGCGTGTTGTCGTCGCTCCTCGAGCGTTTCATTTCAAAGGCTTTGGTGCATGCGCCTGATCGGTGATTAGGTGGTGAAACCATACCGCTTGTGCCTGCTTCCGGCAGATCTCACCCTTGAATCATCACTCCACCCCAGCACATCGTAGATGCTCTGTACACCAACGCTTCCGTCTATTTTTCCTCTCGGCGCCTCTAAGCGGCACGGGACCGTTAGCCTCGCGCTAATCCCGAAGAGCTCGCTTTTGCCCTGGAACTAGTGGAAGCAATATTTCCAGCAGGCGACGCGTTGGTTTTCCTTGCAGTGACTTCAGGTCTGGAGAGAACAGGCTTAAATCTGGCACCTCCTGACTGTTTTCCCAATACGTTGAAAGATCATAAAACAGCCACCATCAACGCGGGCGTTTTTACGGCTTTACTAGGTCTGTCCCTCCCGTCGCCGCCTTACCGTTTCTCTCCTCGTCTCGTCGTCTAGGGAGTCGCCAATGGCAAGTCTACACAAAAAAGCAACAGTTTCTTCGGACGCTAACTCCGGCGCGAAGTCAGCGCCCCCAAGACGCAGCTCCGAAGTGCAACAGGAGCAGCAACCAACAGAGCATGCCATCGTCCTTCAATCTCCAAGCAGTTTGCGTCTGCCGTTGCATCTCCCCCCCGATTCATTTACTGCTTTGAGACTCCCCGCGCACGAAATTCTCCACGGTAGAAACCGCGCGATCGTGTGCAAAGCAAACGGATGGGGTTTCAAGGACACATACCTCTGCTTCCTCGACAAACTAACCCTAACTCTTACGGGCAGCAGGTAGTTCTCACACAATATTCGGAACCCTCCGTTTCTCCAGCATGAGCTTTCCTGCCTTTCGATGCTCTCTCTGCTCCTTCTGAATTTTTCGCCCCCCGACGGCCCCACAGGCTGCCGAGTGCAGGGAGCTGCACTAATCTTCGAACCCCCAAATGCATATCCCCCCTGCATACATATTGCGACAGTTGCATGGTGGTGTAGCCTGGCCAAACCCTAATTAGGGCATACACTGCGAACAAGCCTTGAGGCTTCATATGGCTCCCTAGCATCAAAAAAACTTCTTGCGTCTGAATCCGATTAGTGTGTCGTGCTGAAATCTCGCCTTCATGCTGACGGCTGGTGCCATTTGCTCTTGTGAATGCCGTTCTTGCGGCCCCTGGGCGTCGCCACTGCTCTGCAGGTACGCGCTCTGCGGCTGCCGCATGCGACATTGGCATGACTTCACGGACTCTATTGAGGGCCTCGATTTTGAGGCAAAGTCCTTACCCAGACCAGAAGCAGTCATCTGCCCCCAGAGGAATGTGAAGAAGGAGTTCTTCCGCGATCTGTTGAAGCTGGTAAGAGGCGAAGCAGCTCTCTCTACCTGCGTGCATAACACTACGCACAGCCTCGGCCAATCATCTAGAGACTGGCGAGTGTACTAGCCAATACATAGGAGGGGTTATCAATGACTCAGGCGTACACACATTCGTAGAGAGAGCCAGGCCTGTTCTCTCCCACGCCCCTTCTTTTATGCGTCCAAGAGCCAACGCAAAATATCGGGTCCTCCCACGCGCTTGGCGGCGCGCCTCTTTAAGTGGAAAACTGTCGCTCTGTAGCGTGGTGCTCTGATGCAGCCATTTGACCCTTGCTCGAGGGGCGCTCTTGCGAGCTGTATTTTGTTCGCTTCGCTGTGGCCGCTGCCAACTATTGGGCCCCTGTCGTGGGCGAGTCAGCGGCCTCCACTGACCACATTGGGGTCACTCGTTCTAAAGCCCTTGTCTGTGTCGTGTGCTGCCGTCTCTCCGCTCACAAGAGACGGGGCAAAATTTGAACCTCAAGACGAGCATACCGCTGTGTGCTGCGGAGCTTGCCAAAGTGCAAGACCCCTCTCGACGTATTCTCCTGTGCGTGCGAATAATGCGCGGAGCAGGCACCCAAAGTGGAGATTTCGGAGGACGGGCTGGAGCGGCTCTTTCATGGACACGGCCACACGTGTGGCGAGATATTTGCGCTGAGACACGGGCAGCTAAATCGCCTCCCGGATGTTGTGCTCTACCCCAAATGCCATGAGGTGCGTACGATAGAATCGTCTGTAACCCTTGTATGCGCCCTATGTGCAGCTCGCCTAGTCTTGTGGGCGCTAGCTTCCCCTCTTTGACGTGGGCTACATGGCATCGGATTGGTTGTTAAATCTATCTTTCGCTCGCAACGTGTACGGGTAGGGGTGTGCAGCGAGGGTTTTTTCGCGCAGGATGTAGAAGCGATCGTTGCGTGTGCTGTGCGGCACAACGTGTGCTTGATCCCCTTTGGGGGAGGCACCTCCGTCACTCTAGGGCTGGCGGTTCCCGAGAACGAAACGCGCATGGTGGCTTCCGTGTCTCTAGGATTCATGCAAAAGATCTTGTCGCTAGACCGCGATGCGCTCATGCTGACAGTGGAAGCCGGGGCGGTCGGCGCAGTGCTAGAGTCACAGCTGCGACGCCTGGGCGTTACCTTAGGCCACGAGCCAGACAGCTTAGAATTTAGCACCGTTGGCGGATGGGTTGCCACCAGAGCCTCAGGTACGTATTCAAGGAACGCCGCTCATGGCTTGCTTCAAAGGCCAGTAGTATGAGCGTTCCTATTTTGATGAAACAGTTTAACCCCTGTATGCCGTATCGGGCAATTCACCTAGACCCCGCTGCGCGCTGGGGATGCGTGCATGTGCAGCTATCGTCTGCGGACGGATGCGTGCACGCGTGCTCCATGAATGCAAACACATGCAGCCCCTTCCAACCATGCACATTCATTGGGTATCTGAGATGCAGACTGCACTTCGCTATAGCGGCGTAGCGACTCGATATCGCGCGTTCTTTTGCGTCTTATTGTGCATCAGGGATGAAGAAGAACGCGTATGGAAACATTGAGGACCTGTTGATTGACGCAGTGATGGTCACCCCGCGGGGAACCCTCAACCAGCGCCTAGCAGCGCCCCGAGTATCCAGCGGCCCGTCGCTGCAGCAGTTGGTGCTTGGCAGCGAAGGAACACTCGGGATCATTACACAAGTTGTCCTCAAGGTTAAGCCGCTCCCAGAGGTATGGACAACTGGTGCCGCAGGGGGGCTGAGAAAGTTCACTTTATTTGCTTCTGAGGCTAGGGCGGGTGCAGCGTATACCGACGCCTCGGTTGATAAGAATGGGGCCGCGCTGCAACTTCTGCTGTGTTCTTAACAGAGCAAAGTATTTGGCTGTCTAGTCTTTCCATCCTTTGACATCGGCGTTGCCTTCATGCGGTACGTAGCCCTCAATAAGCTGCAGCCCGCGAGCATTCGCCTGATGGACCAGAGGCAGACACACTGCGGTTCCCTCTTCAGAGTGAATGAAACAGGTGCGGTGCAAGGTGCTGTCTGGTGCACAAGCGGCTCACCAGATGTTTCGTCGTGCTTCGCAGTTTTCCAGACTCCCCAGTCCCATAATCTGCTGACAAACAACTGTTGCTTTCGGCGGCGCTTGCGAGCGTGCATCAGCAGCGCTTTACATATCTTATCCTCCCTCCCAGGGTCAGCGTTGCCTTCTTGATGAAGATTTTTGTTGCTCTGACGGCAGCCAAGGGCTGTGTCTGCGCGCATTGTTGTCTTGGGAACCTTCAGGCACTTCCGGGCTGAAGCACGTGCTGGCTGACGGGGTGAAGAAGTTCTATCTGAGTAAGATTAAGGGATGGCGGGAGGAGGATCTCTGCGGGTGCACTCTCCTGTTCGAGGGATCAGCAGAGGATGTGGCATTCCAGCAGAAGAATCTCTACAGGGCAGCCAAGCTCTTTGGGGCCCTTCCTGCTGGTGGAAAATATGGAGAGAGAGGCTACCAAATGACTTTTATGATTGCGTATCTCCGGTAAGCCGATGACCGCCGGCACTGAAAGCCGAAGGGCCTGGCAAACGTGGCGTCGGGCTGTGCTGCTCACCTCATGATCATCCCTGTTCTGCAAGCGGCAACTACGATGCCTTTGCAGGGACTTCGTCATGGACCACTATTGGGTATTTGAATCATTTGAAGCATCTCTCGCGTGGCCACTTGTTCTCAAGTGTAGACACAAGGTGCAGGAATACCTTTCTGCCGAATGCAAGCGGATAGGCATTCGCTACCCTCCGCTCATCATGACGAGGCTCACGCAGGTTTATGACGCCGGCGCCGTCCTGTACTTTTACTTTGGTTTTAACTGGGCGGGGCTTGAACAGCCCATGCAGGTAATATGCAGACACACATAATTTTCATACCCTTCGAGTCCAACGGAATCATGAGAGCTCCCGCTTCTTCTGTATTTGGCTGTTGAGCGTAGATCTTAGTTGCACGTCACGTGTATCCACTCTTTTGAAATAAGTAGCTTATCAGCAGCGAGACAAATGGGGAAAATGTAGGAACAATAGCCATTCTGTGCCTGAAGTGCATTGAACTTCGGTTCATTCGCAGGCATACAAACACATTGAAGACGGAGCGCGCCAAGTCATACTGGATCTGGGCGGTAGCATTTCCCACCATCACGGAATTGGAAAGCTGCGAAGGGAGTTCTTACCAAGCGTAGTGGGTGAAACAGGTAAGTGCTCAGAGCTGGATAGCTGTTCCCAAACAAGCGTTGAAGTAGTTTTATTCTACCCACCTGCTGCATAGCATCCATGTTTTTTTGCGTCCTCGCAGGGTTGGTCATGTTACGCGGAGTAAAGGCTTGCGTGGACCCGCAAAACATATTCGGATGCAGAAACCTCTTTGAAACCACGCAGGTAGAATGAGCAGTCAGGACAGTTTCTGCACTGAGTCATCCCATTGCACACTGACATGTTTTAAGAGCTCAGGATAGTCACTATTGGCGAGCACATGCGAGGCTTTCCTTGTTGCTTTATGTCCATCAACTTTTAGCTACACGGCAAGTGTAGAAGTCGTTTGACACCCCCCTGCAGGCCGCCAAACGGGGAAAGGTATCGCGGCACACCGGTTGAAACTCGTGCTAGCCAGCCTTCCAGCGGGCAGCTATATGAGTATTTTTGTTCAACGCTATACAAACTGGTATTCAGGAGTAGCACTCTATTTCTGTAGCCTCAGCTTGGTGGCATTTTGTCATCGTGTCTTCGCTTGCTTCTACCCATACACTTGTAGCGGTGCCTGCCAAAGTCGTTACTTCCCATGTTTGTATCTCTGCCGAGCGCACTGCGAAAATAGCATGTAAGAGGCTTTTAGTTGAGGGAGCTTTTTGCCATTGCTCCTAAGGGTAATCGCTAGCTATTTTCAAATTTTGTCTCCTAGGGTGTTGTACTGAAGAACGCGCCCGGTGGTGCTGACCACGATCTATTGCAAAAGCGTGTTCGGCTCACACTTGCCTTCAAATACCTGCCAAACTGGAATGTATCATGAAAGCCAAAATACCAACAGTGGAAAACGATGGCTCGGCAAAAAAAAAATGATTTTATGGCTGCGAAGAGAGAACCTGCTTGTTGGGGGTGGATGGTCTGGATTTCCGAACTATCTTCAGGGAGTAGCAATAACCACAAGCAAAATCAAGTGTCCCATTTGTCAACAAAACCGAGCATCCTATGCAGTATTCTTGCTAGATGCCTTTCTTGGATTAAATGCGCGAGCAAGCTTTTGATATGCAAAGTCGCACTTTGTAAGGAAAAGAAGAGTTGAAGCTCATGGAAAAAGCGACTCTAAGTAGAACTGGTGGTCTGCATCATTTAATGTCAATTCATGTGCTGTTTTTGACTTAAATCGCAGAACTCACAAAGGCATCACCATGCTCTGCATCCTTGCATCGTTGACTTGACGTTTTACGCTTACACACCCAACATTAGCTTGTGTGAACTTACATAGGTGTAGAACGAGTCATTAACGACTTTAAACAAAATGGATGGGGGAAACAAGCACCGGATCAGTGTCAGGGTGGACTATGGAAGCAAAAACCAAAATGATCAAATCTCCAAAAATATGAGCACTGTCGCGTGAATGGAGCAGATTCTGAGTTCTCAATCTGTTTGGTAGCTTCCTTGTTTAAGAACATATCGTGAGCGATCGACAGGATTAGCCATTACTGTTGAAAGTGCTTTGCACATGCTAATACACCTTGAAAAACACCCAGCAGCACGTATCTGGAGGCAGAAAGAACCCTGTGCCGATGTTCTCATGGGGTGTCTCGCGCAAACAACAGATCTCAATAGGATAGATCTCGTCCAAGAAAATAACAACTAGCCAATGACTTGTTTTGATGCGAAGGTTTATGTTGCACTATTAGGTGTTTTCGAGACTGCTCCAAAGAGTTGTAATTTCATATGCCTAGGTGTTAGTGCGTTTTCCGTGTGATGGTGTATTGTAAAAGCTTGTTTATTGTCTTGTGCCCTAATTTGCCCAAGAAGCGACATGTGGGAAGTAGCACATAGAACGAGGGAGAACGCCTGAATTCAGGCAACGGTGGAGAAGACTAGTGAAGGTTCAATGACAGATTAGCTGAGTACAGGTTACAAACTGTCTATTGCAATTGAAGCGTTCATAATCAGCAAATAAAAAATTTCATAAAGTTGTATTAGAAACCTGGAACCCGAGTCTTCCCCATGTTCGTTCGCCTCTACATGTCACAGTGTCGCAAAAATGGCGGCCTTTCTTTTCTAATATTCACTGCACACATAGGTGCAGTACTACTGCAAGGCTTCCTCTTGTTGCATTGAGCCCTGTTCAGAGTCATTTGGTTCACAATTAGGTTATAGAAAAGCAGCCTGGGAGACCGCATCGTATTCTGCCAGTCCCACTGAAACAGTGTGTCTAAAAAGAGAATGCTCCCTATGCGTACGTACGCCGATTCGGAAAAACCTCGAATGTATCGAGACGGGACCGCAGCTTTTCACAACCCTCTTCAACTGCTCTTCAAACGCGAGCTCAATACATTCCCGTTAAAGGGGTAGAAGCTCTGAAGCCAGTGGAAATGCAGGATTATTCTGTGCAACGGAAGCAGCCTCCTTGTACAGGAGGCGCGGGAATGTGCAACACGGTTCCCAGAAAATGGCGCTTAAACTGAAGCCGATTAAACGACGTCGTCACCCAGGGCTGTCAGCACTTGACTGTTTGCATTTAAGAATAAAAACTTCGCGATCACTTGGGTACACTAGATAGTTTACAATACCATATCTGCTTCGCTTGCGAATCGTCCATACACAACTACTATATTAGGTTCCGAGTAAAATATTTGAATAGCGGCTAACTCGGCACCGCTGGTGTGCCTAAGCATGATTAGCTGTTGCTAACACCCTGAACCCTGAGGCGACAGCTCTCTCTGAGTGACCGGCAACTATAGCTCGTTCTGGACCTCGATTGCCCCTACCTTAACAGGACGAACTGAAAAGACCTGTAACTAAAGCTAAGCGAGGATGTATACATAATGCGGAATTGAAAATCGGCTGCGCGCGGACAGCACTGGTACCGTTAAAGGTAGCTGTAACAACTAGCAGCCGCCGAGGCTGTTCCTCTGTACATACAGCAGCAAACGCCAAGAAACGAAGCAGCGGCACTAGCGAGAAGCGTGACTTCCATTGCCGCTAGCTGACTGCGACATACTGATCTAACCGTCAAGCTGCTGCTGGGCCTCGCGAATTACTCTGTCAGCGAACTGTTTCACTGTTCTTACAATAAAAACAAACAGGCATATGCCTCCGAAAATCCCTGTGATCTCCAGGTACCTCTTGGAGACTGTGCAGATCCCGAAAACGTTTACTTCTGTGCTTTTCAATTCAAATGAATTGGCTGCCAGCGCATCATCTAGACTCTGCAGCTCTCCCCCAATGATTGCGTACACCACGGCGAACGGGATTCCGGTTACGAAGGTAGAGAGTGCAAAATTCGACAGTGTAATGGACGTAGTGCCCAGGAAATAGTTGTTAAAAGTAAAGGGCAGAACCATTCGAGTGCACATCACCAACTTCAATGAGTTCTTTCTTAAGGCGGCATCAATGGCTTGCAGCCTCTTGTTGCGCATCACAAACCGCTGAACCACCAACTCCCGTAGCATAAAGCGGGAGATCAAGAATGCAAAGCATGCGGATCCCAGGCTTCCTGCGATAATGACAAACACCGCGAGCAGGGAAGGGCCCATCAAAACGCCCGCCAAGACTGAGAGCAGGGGAGCAGGAATCCCTAGGCCAGCTACGATGTAGGTGAGCACGTAGGTAGTTGGACTACTCCTCTGAAACTCCACAACTTGGCGCAGCACATCCTTTACGGGCATAAAAAAGATCAGGAGAAAGCCAAAGATAACAAACAGAGCCATAACGAGCTGAGGGAGTCCAGAAGACCCGGAAGCGCGGGGGTCAGCACCCACAGACGCCTGAGTGGCTTTCGCTAGTACGCATGATGCCATCGCTTCATTTTTGAGAGGGGATTCTGCCGTAACACTTTCAAGGGCATTTCTCCCAAGAAAATGCCCCCGGCTGAACAAGCGGAAAAAGGAAGCCATTAGAAGCTCAGGGCTGCACCGTCAGGGCGGAGGAAACCAGGCGGAATACCAGCACCTGAGTTATGTGTCCAGAAGCCCAGTGGGCGAGTTCATGCAGATAATGCGCCGACTACTGCATTTGGGCCGCTCTGCTTAAGCAGGCCAAAAAGAGGAGATGCGAGCCCCCAGTCAGCCGAAGGAAAAAATATAATTCTAAGCAAATACGGCTGAAAACCTTTGAAGAGCCTCAAAAGAAACGGGTTTTGCATGAATGCGCCTGCGATGTCAATCCGAAGCAGCTCTTTTCGAGCAGCCCCGGACCGTCCTGGGCTCGCACAGCGGTGTCTGGAGAAAGCGACAAAGAGAAGACCCTAAACTAGTCCACACGATAGTATTAACTGTGCATTACGGGATATTTGATACGGATAAGTAGCTTGCTGCTACCACGGTGCGCTCCAAAATAATCCACGACAGTCTGGCGCGCACTGCGCACGTGACAAGTGTCATGGCCACGTGGTTGGGACTGGAACGTGGCAAGGCTTCTTTCTAAGCGCGCTTTCACCTAAACAAGAAAAAAATTAAGGACGATGTTCTTCGATTGTGGTCATCCATATGTCTACTCCCTTGTGTTTCAGTTCTTGTGTGCAGCAACGCCTTTCGCACACTACAACAGATGGTTTGCACCACTCTAAACTCTATGAACTATTCTCATTTCACGGCTTTAACACCATCCTCTGTTCTCCATAAGCTGGCTATCTGCCCAACAAGCGCTAGGACACGCGACTAAAGCTATTCTCTCTGCCTGGAGAAGGACTGCTAATAGTAGTAGAGCTACCATTGATTGCATATAGCTGTGGTTGGATCAACTATTTCCTCCACATTCTGGCTATTACATAGTCCTTCTGCCGCAGGTCGTGGCTTGCCCCGCACTTCAAACACATATGTTGCTTTCCTTTGTGCCATGTTTCAGTGTACAACGGTGCGTTCATTACTGGAGTACTCAGACAGTGTAGCTAGTGGTTGGTGGTTGCCAGGCTGCCGTGCCTCCCCTCGCATTGAACTCTGTGAAGTGGAGGAGAGCGAGAGAGGAACGTTTTGGAGGGAACGCCTTCTCCTGTCTTCATTGCGTAACGCTTCAGCTAAGATCTCCACATGAGATATGCAAAAAAACCAATAAAACTCTATAAAAGGATTATTGAGTTTTCAGAGAAGTCCCTCTGCTCCCTGCTCGCACCCCTCAGAGTTCTAGAGAACAGAGGAGAGAGAAATCTAAGGTGCACTTACCGTCGTAGCCCTCTGCTGGCACACACGCACACAACAGTGCATCTTCTAGTATCGAGCAAACAGTGACCTGCAATAAATGTGATATACGAAGAAACAATGTTAAACCAATTAGCCGATTTCAAATGATTTGAATTACATGGAGCACATGAAGTGAAACGTTTTAAAGTGCAGCTTTAAATCTTCCTCCCCCAAAGCCGGTTTCAAATTATCATGCTTGCATTCCATGCATGTACATCACGAGTGTCTAGGTATGGAACAGCGGAAAACTTCCCGCCCTGACGCCACTCCCCAGTCAGGCAGAAGCGCGCAATCAGCGCAATGCGAAGGCAAAGTGTACATTAGCCGAGTTAGAAAAACCAAAGGGAAGAATGACACGCACACTAGCCAACAATAACCGAAGAACTAAATCAACACGACCGTGGCGGCTCGACGGCATGCTAGCGTCAAAGCGTTGGAACTTATTGGCTTCCTGCTACGACAAAGCAGAATACCAGTGGAATCTTTCAATTTAACCAAAAATTTTAGAATTCAGCAGTACCTCCGTGCCTCATAGAACAATATCTGCTGCCGGTACAGCCGATGGATGCAGAAAAAGGGGTCTTCCAAAAACCCGAAGAGACATGCGCAGGGAAGTAGTGACAGCGCTGCGGAGAGGGACGCCACAGCCATCTGAATGAAGAAGAAAATCTGAGCAATCATAAACAGGAACTCCTAAAGCAATAGCCTTGGACGAAGGCTGCTCATTCAGGCAGAACTTGCACTGGAAAAGAACACTTACCCAAGGACTACAGGGAATGACGTCAATGGCTTGTAGTTTTGTTAAGCAAACTCAGGCAAAAATTTCCAGCGAGCAATGAAACCCGCATGTGCTACTCCGCCCAACACTGAGGCTGGCAGTCCCCATTCCTTCCTACCAAAGCTTCCTGTCTAGCGTGTCCGCGGCCCTTGACGGTCCTCGAATCTAGCATATCTACATCTACCAGTGGGCACACGGCTCACTTGCCTCCAGCGCAAACTCCGCAATAATTCAAGGAGTTTGCAAACTTCCTTAAGAAGTCAATCTTGAGTGTTCTATGGATCTTTCAACTTTCAAACAAACCAGTAGAGTGCGGAAAGAGATAAATTCGTGAGAGTAGCGCGTAGGTTCTAAGCCTTCTGGCGTGAAGCTACGTAGTCGGGTCATATTTTGGTGTACGTCGTGTAGCCTGCCGATTCCCCAGCACCAACTGTCTATACTCGGAACAATCAACCCACTTCCTACCATCATGACTACGTGTGTGTCTCTCTACACCTTCGCACACACATTAGATTGCAACAGTTAGCTGTCCTCTGAATGTTTCCACTGCTTGGTAAGGCTGCTGACCGTAGGCCACCAGGTCCAGGCAGGGACCGCAGAGTTGTTCCTCACTGTATACCAAGGATGCGGAGGAGCAACGGGGAGACGCGTTTACCCCCATATTAAAAACCCTGTCAGCAAATGGAAGATACCCAAGCCAACCAAACGAATCTCTGGAGCCTAGACGCCCACACACTTCACAACAGTGCGGTTGATGCGTTCTTTGCACCCAGCTGTCTTGGGGAGGTTCGCAGTGGTCATATGATTGTCAATCTGTTGGCAGGTCGACAAGGCACGCCAAAACGCATTAAAGAACTTTAGATCCTTATCCGTGGTGATATTACTAGGCAATC